GAATCTGTGAACAGGCCCTGGATGGGAGATCCGGCAGGTCAACCTGGAATAGTTGACGGTGAAGATCGAAGTGATGGAGGAGGCAAAAACGGTTCCTTGGAATGGCTTGCAGTTCCCGTCGGCTGACTGATGAGATGGGGGCTTGCAAGTGGATACAACAGAGAGGCGAAAAGGCGGTCTTGAGGGATTCAAGGATGTTTTGGGCAGAAACCGTTGGGCTGAAAGAAGAATCAAGAGAGAACGTTGGGCAACGAGGGGGCCCTGCGGGTTTTATCGTTGCGGTCCAGTCTGACTCCCATCTGAACAGAGTCAACACCCCCGCTGCCAGGATGTCTCACCACTCCGCGTGCCAATAGACGGCCGGCGGAACGGCCTCTGTGCTGGCCGCAGGAGTGCGCTGGCGCGCCATGATGAGGCATGATAGGCTCGCTTTACAGGGGCCTGCATGGTGTGCTGGCGCTGACCGGGCCTCTTCCTTGGCTGTTGAATGGTCCTAGTGGAGCAGGAGGTCTACCAGGGTCCTATCAATGACGAGCGCCGTCGTGCAATGTGATGAGTAGTGATGATGGCTGCAGGACAACACAGCATTGCAGTATTGTCGAGTAGGCGGGCACCAACGAAAAATTTTCTCCTCGATATCTGTAGCTGCAGGGCGGAGCAATTCGGTGAGGCGACGCTGCGGTTGCTTTGTTGGCCATATATTGCCTCGCCGCAGAAGAAAAGAAAACTCGAGCAATGAGACGGGCTGTGAAGCAACTGCTGGTGCTCGTTGCCGTTGAAATGCCAGTCCCATTAGAACCTGTAAGAGTGTTTGTTCAGCGTAGAGCGGCTGAACACATCCCTGGTCAGTAGGTAGCAGTGCTAGGCGTAGTCCAGGGAGTAGTCGTCTCTGGCCACCCCCGAGCGAAGAAAACAACTCGGGTCTGGTGTTTTCCTCGAGCAGACGAGAGCGCGTTCCGCTGTAGCCGGAAGCCGCACCAAGACCAGCTAAATCAGCCCATGCGTTGTACACGCTGTCGAAGGTCGTGTCAAGCGAACCAAACGCTGGCCATCCATTTGCTCTCAACACGGCGAAGCTGTGACATGGTGGACCGCTTGAGGGCATCTCGGGCCTCTCGTTGGCCGCTTGCAGAGTCTTGGAAGCGGGGTTATCAGCACGAGCGGCCAGAATGTCGCCAGACGAGATGCGCTGGCATGCAGGCAGGGAGCGTCGCAGACGAATAAAGAGCGGCGGCCGTGGTCACGCAGAAACGTTTTTTATGCACTCGTTCAGCCATTTCGTCACCGTGCGGTGCCAGGTGAGCCATTCAAATAAGAGAGAAGCTGACGAGGCGGGCTGGAATATGCATGGCTTGAGTTGATACAAAGTCGAGACTGCCCACGAGGCTGGATTAGCTAATCCAGCGTTATCTACTCCGTACCCGCGTGCTATCTGAACCATCCTCTTCCCCCCTCTCTGAAACCGAGCAGAAACAAAACACGCCGACGACATACGTTCTCAGCATGGATTCTTGGAAACCAAATCCATTAATGAAAAACTACATGCTAATCCAGCCGGACAAAAGTGTTTGTAGCTTCTTCCGGGTTTCCATGGGAAAGAATGCTATTCCTAATAGCGGCGGTGCGATTCCTGCGTCTTTCCGGCTCTACAGCTCCATTCCGAGGGGGGAGGCTGAGCCTTTCCACCATAAGCGCCCTGTAACAAAGGCCGGACGGTTCATCGCCAGATGAAACACCAGATGAAATAAAAGACCCTATCGGATCTCTTTGATGGCATAATACCTTCCATCTCTGGCAGAAATGCAGCAAGTGCTGTGCGCGCATAAGCATGCTCGATTTCATCCACGGGAACATTCAGTCACCAGGTTCACACCGGACGCGGGCGAGTTGGGCATGGATGCCCAGACAATTTCACAGTTGTTTCATAGAAGCCTCTATGATGCCTAAAATCTACAATACTGTCAGATGGGTATTCTCTTTTCTTTCTTCTTTCTTGGAAGCGCTGGAATCAGCCCATTGGGCCGCTTGGCGTGCTTGTACTGGGCAGATGAAGTGGCTCCCAATTTCAACTACAACCAAGCGGTTGTTTTCCTATTCATGCCGATCCCTCTGTTCCATCTACTCAGCATCCCTGGACTATTGCTATTTCGGGTCTTGGTTACGAACAGGTTGCTGAGCCACATCTGTTACGAGTGTGCCTTTCACCTGGAATCCCCCACTAACACGCTCCGTTTTATACGGAGAGCTGATATCAAGCGCTGCCTCTTTGGAATCCCTTGATGCCCAGGCCGCCGATCGTTTGAAGTTGGATCCACCTCATCCGGCGCTCCACACCGAAAACAAGGTTTGGCGGATGTAACCGGGGCGGTTGATTGAGACCTGCTGTCAAGGTCTACTTGGACTAACCGGATGATTCGTACTGTATTGTCTGGCTCCTCATTCGCATCGGCCAAGATTTCTAGAATAACATGTCTCGGATGGTGCTCGGGCTTGTGGTCCGTATGACATGTGCATGTACTCCGTACTCGTAGAGGTAGTACTAGTACCTAATACTCGTATTCCGCAATCTGGGTAGTTCAATGCGGCATGAAGCCATATTACTCGTATCTTCTGTTGCTGCCCTTAGGTAGTAGAAACTTTCCGTACCGACGCACTGCAGGGAGCAATGCAACTAAGAGAAATGTCGAACTCTCCTCTCTTCTGCAAGGTACTGGTAGACCAGCTATCCGCTCCGTGGTCCGAAACTGAAGTAATTGGTAGATAAACGTACCCAGTCGTGATCCCAAGCAAATGGCAGAGATGCCGTCAATACGAAAGTACAGTACATACTTGGTACCTTGCAGAGCACCTGGATTGGTGTTAGTCGCTTCGTTTGCTCCCGGTACCCAGCAGGTTCTAGAGGCCGTCGAGAAAAATTGCGATCGATTTTGTATAACCCATGGACGGGTTCATCCATGTCCTTGACCAGACAGACCTTGTCGCGCGTCCTCGCTTATCCCCCGATCCAGCTTCAATCCCAATTGCCCAATGGACCAGCTCCGAGCTTCCTGTAGCTCTCCGAGCTCTCCCCTAGCACTAACAGGTACCTGTACGAGTACTTAGTACCTACCTAGGTAGGTACCTACTAGGTACTAAGGTAGGTACAGGTAAATACCCGTACCAGCACTAGGCCTACTACTAACTGCCTGGCATTTCTCCTCCTCCTCCTCCTCCTCTCCTACCCCCTCTCCTACCTAGGTTCCATGTTCTCTCATAGGATGTGCGTGCAAAACGACATGCATACACCTCAGCCAACGTGAAAGCCGGGAGCTGCCTCCTACTGCTAGCACGAGTTCTGCTAGGGTTCATGTTGGTCTGTAAGTAGGAATTCAGCCGGGTTGGCCGAATCTACCCCAGACTTGCAACCGTCTCAGCGAAGCTCGCGGATATCCTGGTTGCCTGCCTGCCTGGGACCGCGGGCGTTCGGCTGAATCCCTCGTCACTTGCTTCTGGCCGCATGAGTGTTTTCCAATCGCGTGTGGCCCATGCCTTGATCTAGTGGGCAGCGGTCCGGATCAAATGTGGTTGGGCTGGGAGCGGGTGCAGCCTAATTCTTGATGCCCAAGCAAGCATCAGCCTACCAAAGACGCCGCTCCCTTGCCGGTTCCCCATCGCCTCTTTTTTTTCCCTGCCCTGCCCTGCCTCCAATTTCCGGACCCCAACGGCTATGACTGCTTTGAGCGTCGGCTCGCCTTTGGGCAACAATCAGCGGAGCCCAACCAAAAGCCTGCCCTTACCCCACGATCGTGTGCTTCGCTCCAAGGTCCTGCAAGGCGACAAGATTCCGTGAAGCAACTTTGCTTCTTCCTCCTCCAAAAAGCAGGTTGGCGAGCATCACCCGCGTCATGAAACAGCCTCGGGAGTTTGCCACTCTGGTACTATCATTTGCTGTAAGCCACAGATTGGTTGCAGCGTTCCTTAGCTCTCGGCTCGCACCCTTGACCTTGATACGGCACCTCGTCCCACCGACGTCTCCCGCCGTCCACAGCGCGCTCCACCGGCACACAACTACTATCTAATAGCATAGCAGAGAAGCACGCAGAAGAACACATTACAAGTACGAGTCCACGTATGAAGAGCTCCCGCTTCCCCTTGCTTGCCTCACAAGCGCGGGCCCGTTGACCCCGGATCTAGTCGTAGGCGCCCGATTACTTGGGACGAAACAAGAGGCCACGACGCACCGCACCGAAGCTTGGCTGTGCCTGTCGATTTGCCTCCCGCACCCTCTCCTCCCTCTCTTTGTTCTTTTCCGGCGGGTTCCTCGCGCTTCTCAATGCCAACCCGAGCATCGCTAGTGATCGACTGAGACCGGGGCTGCCCTGCTCTGCCCTCAAAGGACTAACTGCCAGTGAGCGTTGATCCTGCATAGTACATAAAGCGTGTCCATTCCGGGCTGACGAAGCATTTGTCTGACAGGTCTATCTTGCCTAGACGAGCAGTGTCTACTATTCCTCTATTGCCTGGAGAATTGGATCCTCAAGGACGATTCGGGCCTTCGCACTGAATTTAGTGCCTGATACAACTTACATACCCCCAGGGACCTACAGCCCAGTTTGAAGTTGGCCTTTCTGGATTGGTCGCCTTGGCTGTTCCAACACACCGCCTATAGCTATAGCTCACCTTGTGAGAGACCCAAAGGACCAGACCTTCATCTTCCTCGGAATACCGCTTTCCCCTTGGATCTCCCTTCGGGAAGCTTTGGAAAAACCCCTCTTGGATTGCTCGCAATAGGACCAATGCCCAAGGTGCTCTCTGGATTTGCATTTGCCGGACTCTACAGGCTTCAACCAGTGCTGTTTTGAACTCATTTGCGTTCCCTTTTGCCTAGCTTGAATTTTTTTTTAATTTTTCTTTTTCTTTCTGCATTCTCTCTCCTTTCTGTCAAGCAGACATATATACTGTTCTTGTTTCAGCTTGTTGTTTATTGACCCAACTTACTCCCGGTCGTATCCTGTTGCATTATGAGCCCTGAAAACATGGCCCAGCCCGGATTTGCTTACAACATGCCTTCCGCCTCCAACGGCCACTGGAACCCGCCTCGCAGGTGCGAAATGACCATCACCAGCCAATTACGAGACCCCAAGTTGACTAACACGAGTGTAGCCTCTTCTCCGAGCCATACAATGGCGGCAGGCTGGCGGGTAACCTTTATCCCATCTCCAGGTGAGACAAGACAGGCCGCAACGGAGCCCATTGACGAGTGCCAAGCTAACAACAGTGTCTTTTGAAGCCTGAACCTCTCGTCCAGCACCTATCCATGGGCTGACAGCCCTCCCGCACCATCCAATGGTCATTACACGAGAATCGAACCCGCGGTGTCGACCCAGCCGTCCTATGTTCCTCGTTCTCCTCCCATGACAAACAACTGTTCCAGCTCGGTCTACTCCAACTCGGTATATGGATCCAACAAGCGCAGCAGATCATCTGCCTGGGATGGACAAGGCAGGTATTCGCCGACGGGATCTGTCGATGATATCATTGCGTCCCCCAGCCTGTCCGATTATTCTTTAGACAATGGACTGGACCTCGTCGTTCCCACCAACAAGCCAAAGCAACAAAACAACAAACCTCGATCGCAGCGACGACCATCGAACCGAGACGAGTTTGATGGCCCGCATCAATTCTTGCAACGCCCACCACCCGATGTCATTGCCATGCAGGAGAGGGAGCTTCCGCACCTGCCCACCAACCTTCACGTGCAAGAGCAGGATAACGTTCTCAACCAGGTCAATGACCGACTATCACAATGCGCCTACGACTTCGTGGCCAAATACCAATTCCCAATTCCGTTGACTCAAGACATGAGGCCCGTGGAGAGGCCACAGGATCGAGAGTGGACCGAATGGGTTTACCTTTTGAAGAGGCTTGCCACCAAGAGACGGATTCCCGCCAGAGTCCTCTACAATGGACAAATCAAGCAGTTTGTCACCATTCTCGAGAACTCACTCGAGATGCGGCATGCTGCCAAGCATCAGAGCCGCCCTCTGAAAGATGATCGAAACATCCTCCAGCTCATTTCTGCTGGAATTCAGGTGGCTAAAATCCTGAAAGATGCGTCGGCGATGGACTATCTCGACCGGCTATACGTTTCAACGGAGAAGCAGATTCAGGAGCGTGCTAGCGCGCGATTCCGATCCTAAGCCTTCTCCCCCATCTCTACCAGTCTCTTTTTTGGCATTAATGATCACGTTTATCATGAGACTGCAGATTTGAAAATGATTTATGATTTCCTTTTTTTATCTTTTCATGTTCCCTCACAATGCAAAAAACGAATAACGAGAAAACGAATACTCAGGTATGCCACTATTCCTATAAAGCTTTTTTTTTTCCTTCTCACGTCCATTGCTGACCAGTTGAGTTAGTTCACAACAAATCGAGTCATGCTACGGGCATCCAACTATGATGATGACGATATGTAGACATAAAAGTTGCGCTCTAAGGCGGCCTGCTTTAGCAATGTAAATTGACAGGCTGTACTGGGATTGGCTACGATGTTTTTTTTTTCTCTTTCTTGGTTCTTCTGTTTATACTTGTCTTTTTTAACATCCTTCAAGTATGGCTCGTGTCATGGTAGCCTTGCATTTTTGGGAGCTGGCAGGACACTCTTCCATTCATTGTTCAGACATCATCAGCGAAACGAGTTTTGCAGCCACATTCTGCTTTGATAACAAATGAGGTACTTGAGAATTGACCAGTCGGTGTGAGAATCCGGTGCATATTACTGCATTGCCTGCATCGATGTGCTATGATTTATCAACTCTCCAGTACATTCTACTGCATTGACGAAAGCAAGCGAGCAGGGAGAAGTGCAGAGGTTGCGCGGGGCATTGTGGGAGGAGGGGGAAGCGGGTGAGGCATGAAAATGGGACTATGCGAGGCAGCTGTGTCATTGTTGGGGGTAACGATTGGACTGTAATACTTTTTGTACTGTTAGAGATACGTGCTCTATGCATTCTTTTGATAATGACGAGTTGAGCACGGCCAACGAATGGAAATTGGAGACGCATGCTGGGAGATGACCTTCGAATCAAGGACAAAGGGCATGGTTCGTGCCCGTCCATGCATGATGTGTTTCGGGAGAGTAACTGTATGGAGTAAGGATCAGTATGAATTGGAGTTGGTGCTGCTTTATGATGTCGGGTGCTTTGTCACATAATCAAATATGTATTGTTATCTTTTGGGTTATGAGTATACATGTGTGTCCAAACGAAGCCAATGCTGTTGTTGTGAGCTCTTCAGGTAGAATTGGCCATTGCACGGCTATTGTTTGGTCTGTGTGCGTTTGCTAACCTGGAATAGTACTAAGCGGCGGTGCTACAGACGGCTGATGAAGAATATTAGACGGGTTGCTAGTACCTAGTATGTGCCCCGAGCTAGAAGCCGAGTGTGAGTGCCCCGTGGTGTCTTGGACTGGTGTGGACAAATTCGAGGAATCGGGCCATCCGAGGCAGATGGAAAACCGCGCTCTGGGATACAAGGCAGAATCTTTGATTGAGGCTGGCGAGGCGAGGCGACACGAGACGAGTATCGGGTGAGGTTCGTGAGTACCTAGAAGAGGCTCGGTGTCTCGATTAGACTGTCGGTAGGTGGTTATGTCTTTAAATAGCGCTGAGGAAGATCCCGTGTATGTAGATACAGGGACCACTACGTTTTGCTATGTGAGCGAGGAGTAGATAAACAGTTGTATCCTGATGAATAGTTTCTGCTGTTTTATTATGGAACGTATAATAACACTGGCACTTTACGTCAACCATGATGGGTTTATTCAGTTTGATATCAACCAAAACTCATTATGCAAAGCTCCTGTAGGGTACGGTCGAATACCTGCAAATCCAAATGCAAAAGACGAAATACAAAATACACATGCTCAAGTTCCCGATTGGGACGAGCCATGCATGTGCTTCGGAGCTGCCCTGTGAATGGCTGGGCCTCTCTCGCAGCCGTTGGCCCCACCAGCTGCCGCCAATGACGGCGTCGCATCCGATCGATGGCAAAGCGGTTCGGTATTCGATTCCGGTTTAGCGCCAGATGCTCGTGAATCGCTGCGACACCATGAGATACAGCGACGGTCAGCCTGTGGTTTTTTTGCGACCGAACATGAATATGTTGTGATTCATTTTTATTTCTATCTTATTTAATTCCGGTACTGGGATCTCGCCGGATCGCTGTCGCCGATGCATCTTTTGTTTCCCGGGCCTCTGACACAGTCTCGCAGTTGAGGCAGATGGAGTGAGTCTGGTCGACCAAATCGCTGCCCGGGATTTACAAGCTGCGGAGTGCCGACTACCTACACGAACAGCGAATTTGCGACGACTTGGCACAACGCCATTCACCCGTCTATGCTCTAAAAGTCATCAAAGTATTGCCATCTCTCCCATCTCATTCGACTGCCGCGGCGAATACATAATCATATTCACCTCGCCATGGCTTCCGTCACCTCACAAAACGCCTCTCCGCACGCTGGATCCTCACCATACGACTTCGATTCTAATGGCGACACCGATGAATCTTGGCAGTACATTGATTATTCGAGCAGCGCATCTGTTTCCGGGTCTATCGGATTTCTCCCTAGCCCTGCAAGCGGCAGCTTAAACGGTTTCGCTATCGTTGGTCATGTTTCTACGCCGTCCCAAGGCGGGCTTTCGCCAGGATCCATGGTGGATATGGATCCTACAGTCTTCCTTCCCGCCAGCACTACATATCAGCAAGAAACCGAGTTTGTAACCGCGGACATGTTCTCGAGTGGTGCTGAGCGGCCTCCCAGCAGTGCAGATGCAAGCTTTTCGCAGGGCGATGCTGCGTTCCTGACGCCGCAGCAGTATCTCTTTATGCCGTCTGGCTCGACAACCTTCCAGCCGCAAGAGCTCAATGGTGAGTGTACCCGTGGCGAATGTGGAGAATTATATTGACATCAATGGGTATACACAGATCTTGCGCCCTTTATGAACGACTTCCCGGTCGACTCTTTCTCCGTGATGAATCAGACAAGTCCGGCGTCACAGTCGTTGCCTCAGCAAAATGTTCTTCAGTCACTACCTTCGGATGCAAGCGTGTCAACATGGAACCAAACCAGTCCCAGTCTTTCTGCTACCGAAAATAAGTTTGTGTTTGAGGAAATGATCTCTTCGCCGAGCCAACTGAGCACCGCCTCATCCTCGAGCCCCAAGTCGCCTGCTATCAAGTCCGAGGCGAGCAGCAGCAAGTCTGGAAAGTCGATACGCAAAGTAATTGGCGGCAAAGTTGAGAAGAACAAGAGCGACGCTTCCGGCAGCAAGTTTGTCATTGTCACGCCGACAACGATTAGTGCCCGTGCTGGCAAGCCGAACCCGTTTGAGTGCTTCGAGGCCATGAGGACGACACAGAAAGGTCGCAAAGGCCCACTGGCAAATGAGACAAAGGAGAGCGCGCTGCAGGTTCGGAGGGTGGGCGCATGCTTCTGCTGTCACAGCCGCAAGGTCAAGTGTGACAAGGAGAGGCCGTGCAAGCACTGCAAGAAGCTGATGCTCCAAGTTCCGCAAGTGGTGTGCTGGCAGTTTCAAGACTTCTTACCCGTCTTGTTCCCAGAGTTTATACGTGGACATTTCAAAAAGGATGTGATGGCTAGCTTCATTACGGAGAATGTTGAGGGCTTCACAGTCAGTGGAGCAGAGCAGTTCTGCAATGTTGAGCTTTCTTCGGGTCCACGGTTTGCGACTACGTTGAAGCTTCAAGCCAAGTTTTTCACGGCCAAGACGTGTGACGTCTTACAACACTGGCATTTGAGCAATGGCGAAGACCATGTTGATCTCCAATCCCAGGGGTCGGCACCCATTGGCATCGAAGTTAACAAGGGGCCGCAAAAAGACGAAATGAAGAAGCTGACCAAGGGCTATATCCAAGCCCTTGTGAACGAGCCGCTGCTTGCAGATCAGTTGACCGATTCCTTCAGGTCTACCAGGCTTCCTAACAAAATCCTTTCAATCGTACAAAACTTCGCAAAGAAGTCCGATGTAAGTAAAACGAATGATTACCCAACGTACAGCGGGAGAATACTCACTGTGAATTAGTCCACCATGGTCAAACGGGCTCTTTCGATCTATACAATGCACTATGTTATGACCAGGCATCTCTGCCTAACCCGCCAATCCATCCTCTCTCTCCAACCGACTGGTCTTGTGCCTCAGAACACCCCCTGGGTCACTCCCCGAGTGCTAGCGCGGCAAATCAAGTCTCTCATTGACGAGCTCATCTTGCGTGATATGCAGCATCTCTTTGAACTCTTTTCCAAGTCACTTAAGCCAAAGCTTCGGCGAGAATGGGCGCCGTGTCTGGCATCGTTTCTCGTCCTTTGCCTCTTCATGGAGGCTGTTGAAACCGCCGCAGATAATTTCGTCGTGTCGCAGAACGAAATTGACCTGAGGAACAAGTATTCTCCCAAATACAAGAGATCACTAGCTCTCGATACCTGCAAGGAACTGGAGAATATGCCTTTCAAACAGTTTGCATACCAGTTTCATCATCTTTATCAGACACATACAAAGGATGCAAACACGAGGAGCCTCAATCCCTTGTTCGACAATAGCTTCGTCGAACAGGGCGAGCTTGACCCCGCTGCGGTGGAAATGGTGCAGGCTTTGAGAGAGCTTTTCCATGGAGAAGACTGTAAGTTGAACAATGTCAATTAGATTCGTCCCAGGGCATGATGCTAACTATTGAAACAGGGCAAGACATGCAGTTCCTTGCTGACGACGAGCTCTTATTACACAGAGAGGAGCATCCCTACCCTATGGATACATCGTTTCTTTATACCGGGCGTTTGGTGGCCAAGTTCTTGTTATCATTTACAAACGAGAGCGTCATTTTTGCTAGCAAGATATGATGGGATATTTTCCCCGTGCTTTTCTTTTCTGCAGCTGTTACCTCTTTGGCTAGACAGGTGGCATTTTGATGACAATATATAACGTCCCAGGAGAGTTTGGTGTGTGTTTTCGGATTATGCGGAGTTATGGACCTTGGATCGTTACATCTACATGTATGCATGGCAGTAAATGACATAGCTACTATAGTTGCGGATCACGCAGTCACAGCGTGGCAACGAATTACAATATGTTTGTCTGATTTTAGTCCTAATGCCACACACATTCTCAATGGCATCAGGGTGGAGCAGACTGGTTGTCTAGACCGTTGGATTCATCTCCCACATCGAACGATAAAAATATAGTTGACACTCTTGCGCATTGAAAGCGGCGAGGTGTAGGCAAATCGTGGGTACGTGTCACGGGTTTTTGGTTTTGGCCTAGATAAACAGCCAGCCAAAGGCCAGCCAAAGGAGAGAGGAGAAGCACATCGCCATGACATGACATGACATGACTGTCAACTCCTCTCCATACTCACCAGATGAGCCCCAGGCGGTCATGTCTTGCCTCCCAATTGCGGGATGCAGACGCCATGAGGTCATTGAGCAGCCGGAAATGGTTGCAGTGAAGCTTTCCTTGTCTGCATCTCGCATGCGCAAGTGCTGATGAAGGTTGAGAGGAAGAAAATTGTGACGGCCGCAAAAGCGGAGCAGCTTCAAGAAAAAGGTGTCTGGACCCTGCCCAATCACGTGATGCCGCTCTGAGGGCTGCCACCTACTGTATTTGCGGCCCGTCGCGTGCTCTGCGATTTCCCCTTCTTTTCTTTTCTTTTCCTTTTCTTTGATACACTTTTCTCGCACGATTAATCAACCTACGGCAATTCATCCACTTGCTCTGGGTCATATTTGCGTGCTAGATGATACTGGACTCTTCTGCCTTTTGAAAACATGACGGCGAGATGTGAATTTTTTTTTCGTCTTACCGTTTTGGTGGTTCTTCCGACATACATACATATTCGCCCAAGTTAAAAAAAGAAAAAACCCTTGCTTTGCAATCCCTGACTGACTCATGAGCTTTTTCTCTTCTCCTCTTGCTGCATTGCAGCCCTTCTCTGGGGCCCTTTTTGAGGGGAAAGTCCCAAGGAATCCAAAGATCCCTGCGGGCTCTGCAGTTGACACATGATAAAAAACGGCTGTTTTCGTAATACTCTAACGCTGCATCGCAATCCCGTCACTGCCCAAAGGTGGTGCTCTACTGTATGTAACTGTAATTAGCCGTCCAAGGGTGCTTTTTTTTTCTTTCTTTTCCCTTGGCTCTGACGACGATGGCCGAGGCAGTTAAGGCTGCATGGTCGCGTGGACACTTGTCGCTCCTGTCCTTTGGGCCGCGATGCGAACTCTAGCAGGCGCAAAGAGGGCACGAATATGCAAGCCCATGCATCTAGTCCCCGCCTGCTGCAGATTGCCAATATTCACGCATTTGCTGGCGTTGTATCACGGGCTCGGACGGGGGAGCAATCGTGGGGATATATCATTGCTCGAGCGCTACCCGGGGGCCCAGCTTGTCACGGCGGAACCAAATACGCAACGCCTCCTTCGTGTGCTCCTCCAGAACTCCGACTCGACGCATGCCCTTTTGACCTATTATATAAATCCCTAAAAACCATCCGCTGTTCTTGCATATTTCTTTCTGCACCTCGACCGGTTTGTCTTACGACCTTGATCCTCGTTATTTTCTTACCGCCTTGTACCCCTCCCGGCACTTTCCACCCGCCTCCAGGAGTGATAAGGCGTGCTGTTCTATCATTCCCATTCCCTGTTTCTTGACTTGAGGCTGTCCATGTACACACCGACAGTTTGGGCACCAGCGTCAGCGTCACTCACAAACACAACCTAAAAACACCTACACAACACAACATCACCGCCAAAAAAAAAAGAAAAAAAAAGAAAATGTCTGAAGTGCAGTTCCAGCGTTCTTTGGAAGACATCCGGCTCGAGATTATGCTTCTCGCCGCCGAGGTGCTCTTCCTGGTGTCGGTGCTCGGTGCCATTATTCTCTTCAATCTCGATGTCTACAGCCAATCCCGCAAGCTAAGCCTAAGTGCTGAATCGTATAAGACTCGGTCGCGCTGCCTCAACAGAGGTCTGCCGCGAGGATACAAAGGCACCATCCATTGAAACCTCAATCCTTGGCTCTGGGTCATTTGTCTTTCCTGTTTTTCACAATATCAGAAAAGAAAAAGAAAAAAAAATCACAATGCATTGCTTCAATCAAGGAGCTCATGGTGTTGTCTACCCTCACAAAAAGACTACCTGTTTTTTTTTCTGGTGGTAGAGAGCTTCATATCGAACCATTTTCGGAGCTGCCAGAGCTCCATGCATTTACACGGCGTTATGCAAACGGCTGCACAATGGGGATTTTGGCGTTGAATTGGCTTGGTTCCAGCTTACGAGAAAAAAACGACCCTGTCATAGGAAGGGACGACGACATGAATGGAATTGACATAACAAAAAGAGATCAGCTCGCATGGCTGATGATTTGCCTGGATGCAGCTTGGAAAACCCAAACCAAACCAAGCAAACAAACACAGACAGACAGATTCGTCGTTGTACGGGAGCTTCGGTGTTTCACGTGTCATGGTAGCCGGCGTTTTGAGGATCGAGATCGTTTGGATAAAAATTGTTGTACAGAGTAGAACAAAACAAAATAAAAACCAGTAAACTTTGATTTGCCCACCAGAATTTGATGCTGTCCGACCGAAAGAAAAGCTCGCAACGCAGCCTCTATGCCTCCTCGGCCGGTGCCATCTTCTATTTCAACATCCGTGCAATTTATACACCACTGAGATTTTGCTTCCGTTCCACCACATCTCTTTTTCTTCTTTCTTTGTTCTTCCTTCTCCTAACCCCAGCTGTTTCTTTACGCCGAGGGCTTCTTCAGGTCTCGAGCGGCCTGCTTCAGGTTGAAGTTGCACTCCTCGTAGGCTCGTCCGGCACCAAAGCCAGCGCCCAGATACGCGGGCCAAGCTCTTCGCTTAAACAAAAGGACGGAAAAGACGACGCCGAATCCAAGACCGAGGGTGGACTTGACGAGGAGGTTGGAAAGGCAGCGATCCCACTGTTGTGTTGTTTCAACATCAAATTAGTAAAAAAGGACATCCCGGAGAAACAAGATTGCTTCGTCTGGGTTAAGCTCGGCTCGGTACCTTCTCGTTGAGAAGCGCTTCGCTGACGGGCCGGGAAATGGCGCTTGGGGAGCGAGGGGCGGCGGTCTCGGACATGGTGGCAGACGTTGCTTTGTTTTTTTGCGTGTGATATGCCGGTGAAATAACTCGAGAAGCGGTAGATGTCGCACTTACGTACGGAGCGCAATTGACGTCGAGGAGCCGGGCTTGGGCTGTGAGCAAAGGAGAGAGGAAAAGCGTTGGATGCAGTGATGTCGAACTTCACGAAAACCAGCCGGCCTCATCATGGCTCTTCGCCTCGAGGGCGGTGAGGGGCGATTGCCTGATCGGGGTGGAGATTGTGGCAGAACTTTTTCGAAATTTTGGAGATGCTACATTGATGCTTGGAGCTTATACGCTTGGTTTCTTCTGCTATAGATAAATTTTCATTTTTAAGAGACATCGGGATAAAGTGGATTGATTTTAATCCAATCTTCGCCAATCGTTATTTCATTTTCTTCTCTTCATGCCTCCTTGATTTTTGGTTGTTTGCTCGATTATAATGGTAAGAATTTTTTTTTCACACTTATGATTGGTCGCGTTCAGGTGAAGCTCACCAATTTTGCATACAGGGAAAGCTGGATCTCATCAAGACCGTCAGAGGTCTCGACCAGAATGGGCCTGGAGGGAACGGAGAGAACCTTGAAAAGCTATGGAGTAACCTCACAGAGGCATCAGATCACCAATTTCACGCAGCGGAAGAGAGCGCGTTGAGATGGCTGCTAAAGTCCATGAACGGGTCATCGCCTGAGGCAGAGACCATACGGCGGTACCCGTTGACCTGGACGATCCTGGACTTCGTGTTTCAAAAGATACCGCTTTTCTCGCTGGCCAAGTCGTTAGCGGACAGGAAATTTGCTGCTGTTTTGCAGCATACTCTTCAGGATGCATCGAATCCGAGTCAAGAGGCTGGCACTTCTGGTGGGAAAAGGAAGAGATCATTGGCTCCGCTCTACGCCTTGGAGGAACTGAAGGGCTTGGATGGTTGTTTGGCAACGGGCCAGGCTGTTTTCATTGCCCTCAAGTCTCTGCTTGGCCGATTGGAGAACAACGCCGTGGGTTCGCGCGACAGGATTGGGGCTGAACACATCAAATCTCTCTTCTCTACATCGGCAACCGAAGCTGCGACACTGTCATCCTCCTTCTTGATAGTTTGTGTTCTGTTACTAGCCAGCGATATTTGCGACGACGTCGAGGGCAAAGAAGACTGGGTTTCCACTGTCTCCAAGATATGGGATCTCCATCTACAGGGGGATACTGACGCTCTTGAGATTGCGACACACCTCTTCCGACCGGCCGCCGCGATCCTGAGACAGTTGGAACCTTCTATCCAAGGTCAAAAACCGAATGCTAATGAAGCTTTGGCGAGTCGATGGAGTGCGGACCTCCAGAGGTTCATGCACCGAAATTTTATACTCCCCGCTCGTACTTACTTCTGGAATCGCCAAGATTTCGAGGTCATTACGAGGGCGCTTGATGTGTCAAATGACAAAACGAGAACGTCTGCTCCGGCGCTATACTTCCTGGCTGCTGGAATGCCCGATGTTTCGACTGAAAGCGACTTGCGCAGGATCAACACGATTTGGATGGACAGGATATTCAAGGCTGTGGAGGAGCAAATCCGCACAAAGCCGGACAGAAATGCCCTGATGAAGCGGATTCTAGCGCAGGCGGTAGGAAGCTCCGTAGCAATCGATGCTGGGGACCTTCGCCAAGTATGCCGCAACTATGGTTTGGGATCAGAAATCGATTGGAGCTTGCTCGCAAATGCTGCTACGTGTAACCCAGATATTTTCCAAATGTCTGAGGAAGGCACAGCTCTTTTGAATGATATTTGCACGCAGAGCATCAGCCATAAACCGGATGCTGATGTTTTCAAAGATCAGTTGGATCTCATTGCAGCTATAAAGAAAAGCTTTCAGACGCGCCGCGATCTCTCTGGATTTTTGCGACTATGGTTCTCGCAGCTGTGTCTGACTGAGAAGCGCAAGCTGGCCTCGAATAGCCCTTGGTTCGAGATTAGGCGAGAAGGGACCCATGGGAATTCAATTTCTTCTTTGATAGAGTCCGAATTGTCACCACACCAGCTCCTCGGGATTATCGAATGGCTCGGTGGACAGGAGCCTGGCTCATACCCCCAGTCCCTCTGCGTTTTCACGAGCGTCATTGCGCAAGGACTGCATGGTGAGCAGTCCATTGACTCTATAGGCATGAAGCTGTTCGACCTGGTCTTCCAACTGAAAAACTCTTCAAAGACTGCTTTGAAGTGGAGGGTCATTTCCAAGGCGATTTCATGGGCCTCCCCCGGAGAACGGAAAAATGTCTGGGACCAAGTGAAAGATCAGCTCTCCAAGCTTCTACGGAAAGGGGCCATTAATTCGGCTGAAACATTTGAAGCCCTCAAGTGCTGCTATGAGGCTTGGGATTCCATGACCCAAGATGAAGACGCAGCCGACGAGCCATCCAAGTTGGTGGAGAAATTCACACAGCGGTTGGTAGAAGAGCTTGCGTCGTACGATGTACTGGAAATCACAAAACTGTCAGCTTCCCTCGGCTCGGGGGCAAGGTCAGAATTCGACGAGGAACTTGCCATCCAACAGTACTTGGCTTGGTATATTCTGGGTGGCAGCCGTTTCTCTCGGCTCTATTCAAGAAAAACTGACGAGATTCCACTACTTGAGACTGTATCATCTACAAAAGATGTAAGCCCTCCTGGGCTACGTGCCCTTTGGAGTGCTCTCCTGAGCAATGACGCGAATCTTAACGATGCGAAGCTCTCAAGAAAACTCCTAGATCGTTTGATTACAGCCTTGGCCGAGTCTGAGAAGGAGAAAGGCTGGCCAGGAGAACGAGGGCAGCTGTGGATTCGAACCCTATGCAGCGTACCCTTGGAAGCCTTTAGCCGCGCCCAGCGTGAGCAGATCATGGGCATATTGGATAAGAGGAGAGAAAAGATGGTCAAGTCCCCGAAGCGGGTGTCTCTCGAAGGCTGGAAGCTGGTGCTTGATTTGGCAAGCAAAATGATGGCGCGGCCGACCTTTTACGAAGGAATGCAGTTTTCCAATCTTGTCGATTACGCTGACGCCATTTCTAGTCTCTCTTTCGAAGAGACGATAAACGATGAGACGCTGCTTGAACTTGTCGAAAGGTACTTTGCTATGACTTCAACGGTAGTAAGGCAAATGTCGGATAATTTCGATGAACGGAGTGCGAAATACTTTTCAGAAGGCTTGGCATTTGTTGAAACATGCGAAACGGAAGAGACGAAGAGTGACCCCCTGAGCCTCCCGGCGCTTCGTACTACCCTGTTAAAGGCCATCATTGTTGAGCTTACTCGGTCGTCGGCTCTTCAAAGCCAATCCAGCCTCGGTCAACTACAGCAGAATGCCAAGGGTGCATTGACTCGACACATAGCGGCGGTACTGGGAGAGCTTATAGCAGACAAAAAGCTCCTATCAAAACATGACAACTCGAAAGATTTGGGGCTCTTTGCAACGACGCATGCTGCCGAGGCTTTGGACAGCGCTTCTGAACTATCACAACACAAGTCAAGCGCGATCCGCAAGCTGGAGAAGCGAAGTAAGGAGTCTATGGATGCTGGCGACTTGAGGGCCTGGAAGATTCAGATTTTCCTTCACAGATATCTGGCGAGTGGACTGGAGGATCCTCGCCCAATCCGGTGTGCCAGCCTCGCGAACTTGCCGTCAAACACCCGCGAGTCTCTCTTAAGGGATTATATCACGTCCGTCATTGCCAACATTGATGTGGCTGACGCTTCACGCTATCTCAAAGAGTTGATACGTGAATTTACAGGGGGCTGTGATACAGATGGCCAGGCTCTTGCCATCCAACACGTCGTTGGCCATCTCATCGGTGCGTATTCACGAAATCAAGAGTTGCTGAGGAACACCGCTAATAATCATCCTACAGAACGCACTGATCTACACGGCAAGGGTGAAGGTGTTGATCTATCAACAGCTCACAGCGAGCTAACACTCTGTCTATTGAAGAAGTCGCCCAATGTGGCCTATACATGCCAAACCGTTCAGACTCTTCTGGAAAAGAAGCCACAAGCCATGGGCCAGTGGAATATCGAGGTGACCCTGAGCACCGTCAGTGACTTGGCTTTGTCAAAGGGCACAAACGGTTCAACGGTGCCATTTGCGTGGCTGTGCAAGTTGGTTGGGACAATTATCAAGAAGCACCGCCTACGGCTGGAGGGCCACCACCACTTACTTCTGACCACCGTGCAAGCCTTGCTCAACAGCTTGATTCTCAACCAGCCGAAGAGCACTATAGATGGCACCACGCAGGAGGTGATGGCACGTTTATATGGCCGCCTCATCACCCTCATTTGCGAACCTACCGCGGGCGCTGTATCCCGTTCGCAGCACCAAAACGCCTTGGATTCTGCGACGGACGCTGCCAAACGGTCTGCCGGCCGGCACGTCTACCTGGTGTTGATGCAGTATGTGAAGCTGCAGCTTGAGGCCGACGTGCCGAGAGAGGTGGGCGAGGCTCTTGAGCCGGCGATGAATTCCATTTTCGACGTGACGCCGCCAGAGGTGAGGAAGATTCTGAACGACGCAATGGACGCCAGCGGAAGAGCTATCCTGAGGGAAATGTTTAAGAGATATGTCAAGTTTGGGAAATGGAGCGGTGTTTAAGCGGTTTAGGCACACGGAGGGTATATGATTAGAAATTAGGATATAAAACTAGGGTTGAGAATGAATAATATAGATCAAACGCTCATACGCAATCGTATGTGTCTACACTATTCGAACTTGCATAACGCCTGGCTCATGCTTGGCGATTCTGCTTTGATTTGCTGGGGTGGCCGTGCGTCTTGCCATACTTTCTAATCTTGCCATGAAGATCGGGCTGCACGAATATCCAAATGAGAGAGACCAACCATGACATGACGGTATCAACCAACCAGTTGTTACGGAACGAACCGCCCAGCATTCCCCACTTCATAAGAGCACCGAGCCAGGCCACGGTCACAAAGTAGTTGCCATTCTCCAATCCTTTGATAGCAACTTCGGCAACCTGGTCAGGAGTCTGCTGGGGATCACTGGACTCGAGGATCTTGGTAATCTCTGGCTTGGTAAGGATTTCGCGTGAGTGTCCAGGCGAAAGGATGGTTCCGGGGAGAACGACGTGGACTTTGACGTTCTGAGGGTACATCATGACCTCTTGGGAGATGGTATCGGCGAGGCCTCGCATGGCCCATTTGGAGGGAGAATAAGGTGCGTAGCCCGGGATGGTGTACAGCGCAACGACGCTGGCAGTCATGATGAGATGCTTGGCCTCCTTCTCCACAGGGGCCTCGGGCGCTAGCCACTCCCTGAGGATGGCATGGGACATTTCGGCCGTTCCATAAAAGTTGACGTCCATCTGGTGACGCATCGACGACATGTCCATGTCGATGAACAGATCCGGGATGGAGGTTCCGGCAATGCACCAGACAATGTCAGGGGCCTTGCCATCGTTCCACTGCTTGACCTCTTCAAGGAGAGGAGCAGCATAGGACGGCGCAGAAACATCGGCGGCGATGTAGTGGAAGCGCTGCTTGTTCTTGTCCTTGGCGGCAGCCTTTTTAGATGAAGAAAGAAAAAAGACGCCATGTCAGCGGAAACTGTTTGCGGGATGAAGCAAAGTAAAGCAAATACGCACTTTGACGATTTCAAGAGCGTCTTTCAGCTTATCGACGCCGCGAGAGACGAGGACGACGTTGGCGCCCTTGAGAGACAGCATTTTGGCGACGGACAGGCCCATTCCCTCTGAGGCTCCCGTGATGAGGACGGTCTGCAACGAATTGTAAGCCATTGGCCGTCCATTGGCAGCTCATTTGGTCCTTTCATTCTTCCTTTCTGAAGACCAATGGAAGAGGTTAACTAACCTTGCCGTCGACGGGCATCTGATTCCCACCGAACAGCCCCATGGCGGAGATGATTCCGATGGCAAGCGTAGCGACGGCGGGGAGGACCCAAACGAGATGATCCGAGAGTGCGACTGAGGGCATGGCCCAGCGCTGCGGAGGGAGAGGATGATGGAAAAAGAGCGAGAGCGGAAGATGGAGAGAGCTTGATGGGAATTGGAGATGATGGCTGTATTTGGTAATTGAACCCAATTTCTTATTTTTGTCCGTTAGCACCGGAGAAGGTTCAGGGACGTGAATCTTCCATACGGGCTATTTCTGCTTGCTGACGTGGAGAAGTGTTGGAGCTTCGCTAGTCGGGAGCTTGCCGGAATAGTGGGAACTTGGGAATTTTACAGGGGCAGATGCACTGTAGATTAGGGGGACGGACGGCATTGGATTGTGCTGCATCGTATCACGTGCGCGTTCTCATGCTGTGGTACCAGATACGCGACATCAAGGTTGTCAAGTACATCAAATGCTCTTTGCTCTCTCGCCATTTCGACTTCAGCTTCAATTTCATTGTATAATGCAACATTGATTTATCCAATCTTTTCTGGACATTTTACAAGTCGGTCCTGCGTCGGATCAGCAACATGGTACTTTTCAAAGGATCCTGCTGAGCTTCATTCACGATGGCCTCACCAGACGAGCAAGACATAAAGCTCACTGTGCCGAAATTCTCCTCTTTCAAATCCAAGGATACTAGCAGAGAGAGCTCTCAAAGGCTTGAGAAGCAGCATGAGATCCGTCGCAAGAAGCATGCTCGTGATGGCGAAAGATCAAGCAGCCGCCGGCCTGATGAGGATCGTGGCTCAAGGCGCAGTGGCCAGGAGTCTCGTCGCCGCAGAGACCGCGACCGCGACCGCGACCGAGGCAGGGACCGAGGCCGATCTCGTCGAGAGCCTTCCAGTCGTGAGAAAACAGCAGATGCCGCGGAAAAGCCAAAGCCTGTCACCAAGCCAGAGGGTGTTCCGGGCCTCTTTGTGATTGATACAAAAGGCGACCCCCTGATTATAAAATATGGCGGCATTGACAGGTCACAGGTTCCTGCTTACCGTCGCTATGGGGGTGGTAGAGTCCTTGGCACAGAGGGTCGCCTAGTCATCCACCGTGATGGCCCAAGGGATCAGTTTAGTCTCCGCATGCCGGGCGAAGGTTTTCACACATTTTCCGGCAGAGATGGTCTTCGATCCAAGATGCCAAGAGTGGAAGCAAGGCCAATCAGAGCACTTACAAGAAGGAGTGATGCTGATGCCGCGGATGAGGCTGAAGGATACCTATCCTTGAGCTCATCTAAAAAACGAAAGCGTGATCAGCAAGACGAAGAACCCTCCGATGATGAACGTCCTTCATATCGGTCCATCGAGGGCAAAGCAAAGCCACGGCAGCCCTCATACAGTGACTCGGATGAGGACTCGGACATGTCAGTCGACATGCTGGCGGCGGATCGGAGCAATCCACTGAAGCAAAAGTCCATAAGGCTCAGCAAGCAAGTAAAGGATACCCCGGAAAATATCGACGCCTGGCTAGAGCTTGTAGATCATCAAGATGCTTTATTGAAAGCTGGAGAAGATCTGGATCACGCGGTATTAGAAAATGAGGCTCACAGCTTTGCAGAGATCAAAGTATCTATGCTCGAGTCGGCTCTCAAGAGCACACAGAGTATAGAAGACCGCAGGCGAGTCCTCATCTACTTGATGCGAGAGGGTGCCAAAGTGTGGACTAGCAAAGTGACCATGAAGAAATGGTCAGAAGTTCTGGAGAGTGACGGCGATAATTTCCTCTTGTGGAAAACTCGCCTTGATTTTTTGACGTCCAACATTACAACATTTCAATATGATGACATCAAAAAACTGCTTCTAGACAGACTACGCCTTACCCTCTCCCGCCTGACATCAGATCAACCCAAAGAAGCCATTGAGGAAGCCATATTTTTGTTGCTGAGGACCACTCGTTTCGTCCATGATGCTGGCTACAAAGAACTGGCTATCGCGGCGTGGCAGGGTCTCTTGGAGCTCAACTTCTTTAGGCCCCTGACCATTGAGAGCGAGCAGTCTGCGCTAGAGTCGTTCCACGACTTCTGGGAAAGCGAGGTTCCTCGGATAGGCGACACCGGTGCAAAAGGTTGGAGACATTACGTCGAAACTGGGAGCGATGGGGATGCCGCAGAGCCGGTACAGGCAGCTCCAATTGCCCCCTCTTCCTCACGAGATGTCTACAAAGCCTGGGCCCATCTTGAACACTCTCGCTCTCAAGCCGCAAAGATGCCGGCGAGGACTATGGATGATGGCACAGACGATGATCCGTTCAGAGTCGTAATGTACTCTGACATCCAACCACTTCTCTTTCTCATACCAAGTTCTGTTCTACCAGAGGTTTCAACGCAGCTCGTTGATGCATTTCTACTCTTCTGTGGCTTTCCTCCGGCATTTCGAGCAAGCAGTTGGACGGAACTGGCTTATGGTGATCAATTCATCTCATCGTCACTCATCATGGTTGACTTACAGCCAGTTAAGCATCATGACGACGAGACAGAGAACTCGCATAAGAGCGTACCGCGATTTGGAATGGGCGTAAAGGCGGCCGCTTCTCCTCATTTGCTATTTGGTGGTTCCAGATGGTTTCAGTATGTTGCTGCCAAGTCGCAGAATCCCATAGTGAACTCGCTCTGGGCATCAGAGGCACTGAGACAGCTTGTTCACATTGGTGGGATGGAGCGGTTGGCTCAATATTACCTTGCTATGGTCTTTCTGAATGAGCAGACGAGAGTTAAGAAACCTGCAAAAGCCTTGCTCAAACAATATCCTGCGAATTCTGAGCTCTATAATGCATATGCAGTTGCTGAATCGGCCAACGATCTCAGTGTGGCGAGCAAAGTGCTAGGGGCTGCGATTGAGTCACCGTCGGTATGTTATTTGATCTGCAGTCTTCCCAAGAAACGTTCTAACATGCGTTTTAGTTATCTTCAAAGTGGCATAAATTCATGTTCCATGGAAGTTGGAGCTGGATGGAGTTTGAGGCGGGAAACATTGACTTGGCAAAAGTGCGTCTCTGTGCGTCCGTGGACGAGAATCTTAAGGGCGCGGGGCCGGATATCCCTGAAATTGGCAGTGCCACGCTTCTCAAAGCCCAGCAAACACTTACTTCAGATTTTCACGAATACCTGCTTGATCGAGACTTGGTTGGAGCTAGCGTACTCGCCGAGTGTATGATTTTACTATCATATCTCACGGCGCCAGGAAGTTTGGAGCCCACGTCAATTTCTCAAGGTAACATTGCTGCTGCGATGGGCACTGTTGATATGATATCTCAAGAGTTTCGGTCCCAAGACCAAGTCGACTCCGTGGCGCACGAGCGTGTCCTTCAGTATGCTTCTCGGCTGCTATATCTACATGCATCAAAGGGGTAAGTGGACATATACTTTTATGCCGTTTCCATCACCATTATTGTTTCTACTGGGTATATCCACGTAACATGTGGACTGTCGAGCTAATAAATAACGCATAGGCCATTCCGGAGAGTATACCTGCGCGAGAAGCTGTCGGGTTTCATTCGGCAGTTTCCGCAGAATTCAGTCTTCTTATCCATGTTTGAATGGTCTGATGCGAGCCTTCGGGTCATTGACGAGACGCGTGACCTTTTGTATGACCAAGTTCTGGTGAAGCAGCATGACTGCATTAGCAGCCGCGTGTTTGCTATTCAACACGAGCTTACACATGGCAACGCTAACACGGCAAAGACTGCATTTGAGCAAGCTCTGGCGAGTGACAGCTGTCAGAACAGTCCCGCATTGTGGATATACTACATTCGATTCTGCCAGATGCAGTTCCGCACAAAGGCAAAGGATGTGTTTTACCGGGCTTTGAGGCACTGCCCTGGATCGAAGGAGGTGATGATGGAGGCTTTTCTGACTTTGATTCGCGATATGGAATCGGAGGAGCTGAGGGCGGTGTATAACACCATGACGTCGAAGGGGATGAGGGTACACGTTGACATGGAGGAATTTGTTGAGAGGCGCAGGGCGGAATGATCGAGGGAGAAGAAGAGATGAGCGTGTATGAGTTGACGAGTGCTTGGAAATTATTCACGCTGCTTTTGTATGGGTTTGAGCACCTCCAAGGCACTGCCTTGGTATATCTTCTATGATATGCCCAGTCACATCTGCCCGGTTTGATCCTGCATCTGCATGATGCCACTTCCTCTTGTTTGACCTGGCTACATACCTGTATAACCAGTTGCATGTGGTCAAAATAAGGAGATCGCCAAGTTTAGGGGGTCCTCCTTTGCCCCTCTCCTAAAACCCCAGCGATTCACGGCTCCACCGTCGGTTTTGCAATGGAGGGGCAACAAAGAGGCTCAGCCCCCCGTTCTCCTGCAGCGATTCACAGAGGCAACCCGTAAGCTGCGCTTTTATACTGACTTTTGGTCGTGACGAGATTTGTCCAGTCATTGGTTCGTTGTCCTTTTTTTGCTTGGCTTGGCTCGCTAGGGTAGGCGAAGCGAAACGAAGCTGGGCGTGGTCTAGAACCATCCGACGAGACCCGGCATATGTCAATCTCACCTCAGTACTAATCCATCCTCTCTCTCATGTTCCCCCTCATACATAACATACTCTCCCGGCATTTTGATACGCCTGCGTCGTCCTAGAATTTAAAAAAGGAAGAAGAAACACTCTCCCATGCCATCTCAATTTCTTTTCTTGTAATATTTCAACGCTCATCTCCTTCTTCTCCTCCCGCCATGGCTGGTCCAGATCAATCCGCGCTCCAATCCGGCGGGGGCTCAGGCTCGGGCCAGCGAACCATCGAAGCCCTCAGCTCCAACACGCTCGCCTACCTCAAGCGCCTCTTCGAATCCCACGCAACTCCAGACGGCAAATGGACAGGCGACCAGGTCAGAGTCTTTGTGCAAAAGGTCCAGGGCCACGACGTCACCGCCGACGCCGCCGCACAGCTGCTCAGCACGCCGGGCCTCGACCTCGGCGGCTTCCTGGCCTTCATGACCTCTTCTCACAGCAATGCCGTGCTGCCGGTGAAGAAGGAGGACTTTTCGTGGCCGCTGTCCAGCTACTTCATCAGCTCCAGCCACAACACGTATCTGACGGGCAACCAGCTGTCGAGTGATAGCACCACTGGCGCTTACACAAACGTCCTGCTGAGGGGATGTCGGTGCGTCGAGATTGACGTGTGGGATGGCGATGAGAGTGACGCGGAGACCTCGTCGGACAGTGACACGAGCGACGATGAAGCTGCTGCTAAAAAGGCTGCCCTCAAGGAGAAGAAGAAGAGGGAGAAGAAGGAGAAGAAGAAGGAGGCCAAGGACGGCGAAAAGAAGGGCGGGTGGAGCGACCAGCTGAAGAGCAAGATGGACAAGATAAACATCAGCAAGAAGATTGAAAAGATGGAGGAGAAGGCGACCGAGAAGGTGGCCGAGATAGAAGATGCCGTCACGCGAAAGCCAGACCCCAACGCCGTTGTAGAGCCAAGAGTGCTGCACGGATATACGCTCACCAAGGACATTCCCTTCAGAGCCGTCTGCGAGGCCATCCGCGACAGCGCCTTCGTCGCCTCCGAAATGCCGCTCATCGTCAGCCTGGAAGTCCATTGCAGCGCCAAGCAGCAGATTGTCATGGTGGACATCATGAAGGAGGTCTGGGACGGCCTGCTGGCGCCGGAGCCCGACGCCGAGATCGAAGCCCTGCCCAGCCCCGAAGCCCTGCGGCGAAAGATTCTCATCAAGGTGAAATACGTTGCCCCTGGAGCGCCCCTGGACAAGGTCGACACCATCCGCAGCGAGCAGGTCCCCATGCCTGCCGGTGGTCCGCCGCCGAAGCCCGCAAAGACCATCCAGGAGCTCGCCCGGCTCGCCATCTACACCCAGGGCGTCACCTTCAAGGGCTGGGCGCAGCCCGAGGCCACGATGCCCACGCACATCTTCTCCATCTCCGAGAAGAAGTTCATCGACTACCACGAGAAGCAGTGGTCCGTCCTCTTCAACCACAACAAGCGCTATCTCCTGAGAGCCTACCCTGCCGGCTTCCGCATCGGATCTTCCAACCTCAACCCGGCCATCTTCTGGGGCGGAGGTGCTCAGATTATCGCCCTGAACTGGCAAGAGACGGACGAAGGCATGATGCTCAACGAGGGCATGTTTACCGGGACAGGGGGCTATGTCCTCAAGCCAGAAGGTGAGTCTACATCACGCTACTTAAAAAAAAACAAAAACCCAATCATATGATATTATGTAGTATAAACAAAGTACAAATCCCCAAACTAACAACTTCTTCAACAAGGATACCGCCCCAAACCAACTGCAGCAGAAGACGCCGCCAGCCCCATCGCCATCACCCGCAAAACCGCCACCCTGCTCTTCACCTTCCTCTCCGCCCAAAACATCCCCCTCCCAGCCGGCGAAAAGTCCGCAAAGGGCTTCAGGCCCTACATCAAGGTCGAGCTCCACGCCGAGGGCTCCAAAAACAGCCACGCCCAGAGCGACGGCCACGTCCACGAGAGCGAGTACAAGGTCCGCACCAAGACGCACAAGGGCCGCGACCTTGATCTCGGAGCGGAGAAGCTCGAGTTCAAGGCGATCCCGGGCTTAGTCGAAGAACTCACCTTTTTGAGATTTACGATCCGGGATGATGAGATTGGAAGGGATGATTTGGCGGCCTGGGCATGCATAAGGCTTGACAGGCTGGGACAAGGATATAGGTTCGTACACTTGAGGAATACAAGGGGAGAGGCGACAGATGGAGCAATACTAGTCAAGGTGGAAAAACTTGTAGTGGAGACGCCTTCAAGCAAGCAGTAGACGACTTTTGTTTCTTTCTTTCTTGTTTTTGCTCATTAGGTTTTACATTATGAAAACCTTTCAAGGACTCTCATTAGACAGAGTTCCGCATCCATGCCGAGGTTGTCATTAGATCAAACTATTACTTCCACATCTCTCAGCTCAACTCATTCCATCATCCCCAAGACATTTTAGTAGTTGTCACCGCCCTGGTTGCCGCCACGGTTGCCCATGTGCGACACCTTGTCCTTCACCTTCTCGAAAAGGCCTTCACCCTTGTGGCCAGAAGAGCGTTGCTGGCCCGAAGACTCGTACTCGTTGCGGTTGCTTGAGCCATACGACTCGGTGCCTTGGCCTTGGCTTTGGCCATAGGTATCTGATGAGCCATACGACGAATCGTCCTGGCGGCGGCCGGAACCGAAAGAAGACTCTTGGTTACGGGATCCGTAGGTGTCATTGCCGCCAGAGCCGAAGGTGTCACCGCCGCCGGAGCCATAGGTGTTTCCTCCAGACCCAAACGAGTCATTGCCGGAGCTGCCATAGTTGCCTCCAGAGCCGAACTCGCCCTGGCCACTGGTACCAAACGAGCTCTCATCGTTACGACGGTTGCCGGAGCCGAATTGGTTTCCGGAGCCGAATGAGTCTCCTCCAGAACCGTATTGTTGATTTCCACCAGAGCCGAAGCTGTCGTCATTGCGGCGAGACTGATCGATGTTAGTGGTTGAACTGCGATCTGGGTATGTCACTTCATCTCAAAGTGTCATGTTAACTCACGCCGTACTGTCACATTCTCATTAGTTCATATTCAATTGACGGGAGACTGGGGTTAAATTGTATCAAACTCACGTTATCGTTGTTGTCGCCGCCGTAAGACATTTTGAATGGTATCTGTGCTTATGTAGACTTTGGTTGTATGGTGGTTTTGGTCAAGATTGAACTGAATGCTTTGTCTTTGGAATGGCATTCTCGTAAAGGGATACCTCACACCTCTTTATATAGCAGAGGGATGGAGGGAGATGCGCCATAAGCACCTGTCGCATTCATACTCAAAGCTATCCAACTTAGACGAGGTCGGTATGCTTTAGACAGCTGCCATGGCGCACGCCACCGGGTGTCTGGAGAGAGTCTCCACCCGGAATGCTGATGTAGCTGAATAGAATTGGCCTCGACTCAATGGACGAGAGCACGACATAGGCAAAGTAGTATCAAGACACCCCGGCACAGCTGAAATCGTCATTGACATCTCCAATATTCCCCAGATGCCCCGCCAACTGGGCATGACCAGCTGTATGTAAAACCCCTGTTAGTGGGACTGCGTTATACTCTTCGTGGGAACGCTGGGTGAGCTAGAGCTCAATTGTCAACATATTCTGCTTCTTCCTTGATGTAGATGCTCTATTTTCTGGACAAGTTATGTCTTGCTCATCTCCCCTATCTGACGAGCTCATAACCAGCTTTCTCTTAGGATGAGACCTGCAGTTCTTGATGGCTTGCGCTTCCCCTCCATCTTGTCCCGGCATGTCCGCAGGAATTCCAGCAAGATTCGGGTGCTGATGGGCAGGTGGCGTTGTTAGTTCCTGATCTTTGCGATGAGAGGTTGCCGTCGTCATCTAAGGCAAAGCTTCGCAAGAGTTGGCGGCGGGGTAATAACGGGTTGGATTAATGAGCAGTGCCTCGCTGGAACTCGGATGAGCGCATCTTGCAATGATTTAGTTGCAGATCTGGCGACGCTAGCTAAATGGACGGATTGAGCCATCTACGTACTAAACAAAGAAGCCATGCCGGCGATACGCCTAACCGAAGGGGCCGTAGGCAAAGGCCCGAACGCTCTGGTTGGGAGAAGTACTCACCACGTTTCTCAAGCAGTGGTTCCTGCGAGCCAAGGACGTTTGGGGTGGAATGTCAATTGCGCAAGCAAGGAGGGGTCTCCGGTTTTGATGATGTGATGCCCGGCCAATCTGTTGCCGATCCCGATACTCGCTCGCTGCAGTATAATGAGGCGAAGGAGGTGGGTGTTGATAGTAAAAGGAGGGGGTCTGGCTTTTCCTTTGAATAGAAACTCGAGTGAGATATGACGCGGCATGGCATCATTGGCAAAGCCAGTGTATTTTTATCGAAAACGATCAGGGTTGATGTTGAGAGCCATCCTGAGGACGCCCACGTTGAGAGATAATGCAATATTGCATCATTCGGGTTGGACCGGTATCTCATCGTGGCATTATGACTGGTATTGCTGGAGGCAGGCGTGGGATTGGATTGGAAAGGCGAAAAGCGACCGCATGCGGCCGGAATCAGAATGAAGCAGTAGGTGATGGTGACGACGGATGTACGATCGAGGATTGCCTGTCAAACGTCAGAACGTGTCCAATTGGCGTAATAGCAGTTGGCGGTGATGAATTTGAAATCCTCACGATGTGTATGGAAAAACATTTAGAATAAAAGGAAAAAGAAAAGTTGGAAAACGAAGCCCAAATGCACCTTACTCAGCTTACCTAGGCATATCTGATATCTGATTGCTTGCTCTTGTGAGAATCTGGGAAAGTGCGAGACGTTTTTTTTTTCAATTGGCAAGAAGAGCCTACACCAGTACGTACCTCTACCGAATTGAAGAGAACCGAGTGTACCTAGGTACCTACCCTACTCTGGTAATACCGTTAAACAACATGTATCACGTATATTAGACTACATGTACAAGTCTCGATTGAACAGACCTGGAATCGAACAATTCATCGATCCAAAGATTGATAAGGTAACTGGTCCAAATCCATGTAGGCAGTATTAGATGGTTCAAAATCCACACGTGCAATTTTCAACCTCTTTCCATGTTGCTCTTGCTCTCATCACCATATTTGAGACTGCAATACGGCGGTGGTGTAGCTGTTGTGGATGAAACAAGCAACGCGAAACCCAGAATTCGCCAGGACAAAGCAAGCCTCGTTGAAGAGCACTTTCTTTTTTTTTTCTTCGTCTATGTTCAATTGTATTAATCCTATGTATTTTAAAGCCACTCGGATATATCCTCACCAGCCTGGGATCACGCTGGCCTTGAGCGCAATTTCCCACAGCAGTATATATCATCGCCAAAAAAAACCCCAAAAAAGCGCCATGTAACCGTCTCCTCAAAAACTAATATTGCTTGCATAAAACACACGCTTATCCATGTCAGACGAACAGACCCCGACGTCAGTGAATAAGTCTAAGAAGCCGCCGTTTGCAGTCGCCGCCATGCCATTGCACGTCAGTGGTGCATGATCATCCCGTATCCTCACAACTTGCTGGCCACCTGGTCATTAGACACAATTGCGCCGCTCATCAGGGCCGCTTCTTGCGCGGGCTTGGAGACGAATAGCTCCCTTCCACCTTGATCCCCCCACCAGGCGACTCCGATGGCTGCTCTTTCTACATCCATCTCTCCATTGATGAGAATGTCCCAAAACCGCTTCTTTACTGGTGCTCGAAGCTTGGGATCTGCAATCATATTCAATGTCTGTGCCGTAATGGTAAGCCATTCTTCCACCAAATGCAGAGGCACGGAAGGCAGCGTATCGACCAAGGCCATGGTCAGTGAACTCTGCTCTGAGCAAGGAGCCGGGGCTCCCTTGGAAGCATCCTCCGGCAAAGTACCGTCTGGCGGTGCAGCATCCGGGGTTTGAGGCAGAAGCGCGGTGCCTGCGGTGGCGATGGAAGCCCGAAGCATCTCCAGCAGGGTCTCCGCAAGATGAGGCTCCATTGCGGCGATGGGGTTAGGCGGAGAGACAATTTGCATGACAGTCTTGTAGGCGACTCGGAATTGCCGTGGGGAAATTTGTTGGGGGAAGGATTCGAATAGCTTGACAATGTAGAAGGGAGTGATGTCAATGGTGAGTGAACTATGCTGCGGGCAGGAGAGAACAGAGAGGATGGCGCTGTGGGAAGATTCAAAGAGTTCGACCGTTGATGAGGTCATTGGGCCTTCATGGGAGAGGTATGCAGTCGCTGGCTTGATGATGAGAGCTTCGCAGGCTGCTGTGGAGAGCACCAGGGGCAAGTGCTCGGCAACGTTCAAGTAAAACAGATCCAGCGTCCTTGCGAGGTGTGTGATGGGAGCAGTAGGAGCCTCGAGGGGACGAATCTCCTTGAGCAACAGCTCACATGCGGCCGGATGCCGGGAGAGGCTGTCGATGGAGGTTAGGTAGCTGAACGTATACACCTGGAAAGCGCTGTTGTTGTTCCGGTTGGAGATGAAATACAGATTCCGCAGAATGTGCAGTGACTTGGCAGCAATTTCCGACGCAGCCACGGGATTCAACATGCGGTGATCGAGTAGACTGCGGGAAACGATGGCCTGCAGAACAGCCACAGCGCCAAACAGCAGCTTTCGAAAGACTTGCCACAACACCGGCCACGTCTTCTGGAGCGTCTCCAGACTCAGCTTGTCGGCCTCAAACGCGGGATCAATGTCGTTGAACCGGTTCGACCGCCAGGCGTCCAGCACTTGGCGCGAGAAAACCAGCAGCGCATCATGTGCAGCCAGGACAACGCTCGTGTCAGTGGCATGTAGGGCCGCGTAGGCTGCAAGCTTCGATAACGGGCCAATGTTTCCCATCAGAGGTCGCTGGTCCATGGCCTGCAGCAGTTGGAACGAGGGCGTTTGCGAAGTCCAGGAGAGCAGCTGACCGGGAGCCTCCGTGATGCTCTCCCCGATAACCTGAAGAAATTGGCCCTCGCAAAAGCCTTCGGGGCCGGTGAGAGCCCAGATGGTGACGGGCAATAGCTCATTGCAGTTGATCTGGGCCTTGTGGAACTCGGAGAGCAGAGGAAACGAGAAGTTGAGTGCCAACGCAATCGAAGCGCCAGCGAGCGGTCCATCCTGCCGGTGGCTCTCCAGCGCCATGTTTGCCGCCAGCACAACCGACTGCCCAAGGGTCCCTCTGAGGCTGCCAGACAGCGCACGTCTATCGTTGCCCTCCATGCCCATGAGGACGCCCGTCAGAACCAGCAGATGCTGCCACCGTTTTGAATATTCATCCGCGCCCTTGACAACCGCCCGCGTCCAGACATCGCATTTCAGAGCACCTCCCTCGAGAGGCCGGCCTTCCAGCTTGTTCTTGTCGTTGAGAGCCTCCTGCTCGCAAACGCGAATCGCGGCGCTGTTGTAGATGCTGATGATGCGAACTGAGGTGCGCAATCCATCGTGTCGCTCCCAGATTGCAGGAGCCGTCAGCAGCTGGGACGTGAGAACGCCGAGGTTGAGCGGGTTGGAGAGCTGCGAGAGCAGGTGCGCGGTCGTGCCGATGATTTGTTCCGTCTTGGCCGCATCGTGAAGCTCCTGGTAATACTGCAGGACGGTGTTGAGGAGTTGGTCAGCAGGCATCGTGGTGCATCTGCTGCGGCGCGGCGCGGCTCGAATGCGAATGTGAATGCGCTCGATGAGGTTGTTGTTTGATTGAACGGAAACCAAAAAGGCTGGTTGCAGAGACGCGGTTGATGCTGTGGTTTAGCGCATGCTTTTGCCGAGGCTCTAGGGATGACGTCTCCGGGGGGTCCACCCGAAATTACCGTCTGGTCTCTTCTAGCGACGTGCTACCGCAGCTCTCTGCAGCTAGGAGACGCTCGCCTTTGTGCATCATACAACGAACGACACACATGTACCGTCACCGGCAATCCCAGTGCGGGAGAGAGCAGCGGAAAGGGAGACATCTTAATAGGTAATCTGCGTTTATGCCATGTTAACAGCAAGATTGCATATTAACAAGCAGCCTGCAGTCAACACTCTCGATCGCGCAGATGACGCGCCGGCTGAATCCTCCCGCAAACTACACCACTCCTCCGTTCCCGTCCCTCAACGTCCACACTCTATTCGATGCCACGCCCGACAAGAGATACACGCTCTTCTTCATCGGCGACGTCTGGCGCTTCACAGTAATATGGACGCTGATCACGTTTGCGCTGTTCCACCTCGGCGCCGTCTCCATCGCCATGTTCACGCACGGGTCCAGGAAGAAGTCGTCATGGAAGTATCTCTGGATGACGCCGATCATCTATTTGGTGGTCGCCGGGCTTGAGGCTCTACTCTCTGGCACCATTACCGGGGTCATGTCAGTGCTAGATGGATCGCCGAACAAGTGAGATGAGGAAATGCTGACTGCTATGTAGGCTCGGCGCTGTTTACCAGGCGGGATACTACGAGATGAATACGTGGATTCCCTGTACCTGGGGCTTCATCAACGTTCTTACGCTCATCATCTCCTCCTTTTCGATTCAGGGAGGCCTGTGAAGAGCGGCAGCCCGAAAACCCGGGTTCTGATTCAACCAATGAGAAGCATACCAAATTTGCAATATCATGGAGTAACCTCATGTTTGACGCCACGCTTATTACTCAACTATGCGGCGGACAGAGAGATCTTATCTATTGCATCGACGCATTGGAATACCACGTGTCTGTTCCGGTAACGGTTCACTTCTCCTGCCCTGGTTTCCTCCAAGAAGTTAGTTGAGAGCTAGCACGAGCTCAACAAGGAGACAATGAGGTAAAACTTGCCGCACTGCTGCAGCATGTCCGATGTATTGACATAGATACATTAGACGCATGTCGAATTCAACTAATAGCAACAACCAAAGCCGAAAGCCACAGAAGAGTCCAGATCGCGGAGAGAGCGGTGGGCTGTGGAGACTGTGTTGGTTACGCCTCCTCTTGGCGTTGTAGACGTTGTTGAACAGATTTGAAGCCCTGTGACAATCATCTGAGACACAGCCACTTGATATGTGCAGTCTAAGAAGCCAGCCATTGAAGCCCAGATAGTACATCAAGTAATTAAGGGTTTAAGAAGACATTAAACAATCAAGTGTAGTTCAAGTCTCCGAATTCTCTCCAGACAACGAATCCATCACTGTATCATCGCCAATGCTACAAGTGTCAATGGATATGTAGTCGGGTGTCAATAGCTGCCAAGGTGTGTGGCCGCTGGCTACAGTCGGTGGACAAAAGTGACGCATAATCCGGAAAAACACTAAAATTCCGAATTTTGTTTTAAACTTTAAAATACGTATTTCTTAGCTAAATAAAGGCTAATTTCTTTGTAAATTATATTATTTTAATTAGAAATAGTTAAATTTTATTAAAATCTATGTCTAATACTTTATATACTAGCCTTTAGCGTTTATAATAGCTTATAGCTGCCACGGTATTAATATAATAAGGTTTTATAATACTTTATCTTCTATCTCTTCTTATACTATAATTATAGTTTTTATTAGGCGCTGCTTTAATATATTATTCTTTAGTATATCTGTAAGGTTAGGATATTACTTATTAATTTTTTCTTTAATTAAATTTTATATATTTTTAATTAGGTTAAGGTTTAGGCTATAAGCTAGCTAGGCTAGAAGTTTAATATAGTTTTCTTCTACTTAATTTCTTAGCTAACTTTAAACTATTCTAGCTTTATATATAGGTGCGTTATCTTTTTAGAATATAAATCCTAAGGAGTAAATTATTAAAAGATTTTTTTATAAGTATTTAAGTATTTACTACCTATTAATGCCACTGCCCTTTAAGTTTAGGTTACTAAGAAGTAGTATAAGAGATATATAATAAAACTATAAGATTATACCCTAGAATATTTATAAATATTACGTTAGCTTTATCTTTAGCTATATATTCTTTTTATTTAAGCAGTATTCCTATATAATATTAATTAGTAAAGCTATTATATATTAAACTTAGTATACCTTTTTATAAAAAATATACTCTTATCTTTTACCCTTACTATAAGCAATTATAGTTTTATTACTAAAAATAACGTAAAACTACCACTCTATTAGCTTTCTTATATAGTAAAAGGCAAAGGCTAGCTGCGCTTTCGTATTCTCCAGCGTTAATTTCAGGCAATAAAAAGCTTTATAATATATTACTTTATACTTTTAAAAATACTAAATTAAAGTATAACTATAGTATAGTAAATTAGCTTATTAGATAATTTAATTAGTGTAAATAAAAGGGTTATTCTTAATAAGTTAAAAAATACTAAATTTATAATTATTATTTAAAATTAAAGGTCTCCTAAAACGCTGTTCTAATTTACTACTTTTTTAAGTTTAGTAACGTTTAATAATACTACACATAAAGCTTAGTAATACTCCCTTTTTAAACGCGATTACATGGGCCGATTAGCCTAAGTTATATACTATTATAACCCTTATTCTTTTATAAGGACTATACTTAAGTCTGGGAGTAATTAGGGCTATTTTAGTTGTGTTATAAAGAAAATAAAAAGTTGTGCGATTTCGCGTCGTCTTTTGGAACCGCGTTTTAGTGGGGTTTTGTTCGTCACTTTTGTCTCCCCACTGTAGCCCCGGAGCTGCGCCCCTGAATATCTCTGCAAGGCCCTGAACCCCACCACAAACCGCCCGTAAGCACCTCTCGCCATGGCCAGGCCTTGACACCTGCGTTGCCGCAACACACGTATTGTTCTCTACCGAACAATCCTCGCAAAACATCGCAGCCGTCTCAATCTCCCCGTTACCGTGCCATCTTCAGCGTTATTTTAAGATCCGAAATTCTCCGTGCGCGGCCTGTCCGAAGCTGTGAAGCCGAATTCCGTCTACGTAGCCTCACGTGCGGGTTCGCATAAAAAATTGAGACCACATAATAAGACGTTATCGCCATATCTAAAACCAAAGACAGGCCATCACGAGGGATCATGATATAGCCACTCATCCTCGACGACTCAGTCTCGCCGACTCCAGCAAATTCTTTCTTTTTTTTTCCCCTCCCAAGCGACTCATTTCACCAGAAATCTCACCCCAAAGAAAGAAAGAAAAGAAAAACACCATGGCAAACTCATTCGCCCCCCAATCTCGCCATCACGACGACCCCCTCTCCTTCCTCTCAAATCCCAACCGCAACGCTCCGCCGCCGCGCCAGCCCGAACACCTCCTCAAGCCCTTCCTCCCCGGGCAGCCCAAGTCGCTCTCCGGAATCGCCCTCCGCGCCTTTTGCCTGGGCATCGCCTTCGCCGTCAGCGTCGTCGGCATCGTGAGCGCCCTGCTCTTCACGGACAGCCCCATCTGGCGCGTCCCCTTCTTCCTCCTCGCCCTCTCCACCTTTCACTTTTTGGAGTTTTGGACCACGGCCGAGCGTAACACCGCCGTCGTCAGCATCGACAGCTTCCTGCTCACGGCAAACTGGCCGGCCTACGCCATCGCCCACTCGGCCGCCTTCATAGAGTGTACGATTGTCTCTACCTTCTTCCCTGACCGGCATTGGGCCCCCTTTGGCTCTGGCCAGGTGCTTCTCCTCGTCGGCCTCTCCCTGGTCCTCGTCGGCCAGGCTGTTCGCTCCTTGGCGATGCTGCACGCTGGGGCTAGTTTCAACCACCAAATCCAGACGAGGAGGGCGCAATCCCATCTTCTCGTGACGACGGGCATCTATGGATGGATAAGACATCCCAGTTACTTTGGATTCTTTTACTGGGGCTTGGGCACGCAGCTCGTGCTGGGCAATGTGGTCTGCTTTGTCGCTTATTCGGCTGTGCTGTACGTTTTTTTCCGGGGGAGAATCATCCATGAAGAAGGAAAACTGGTCGAATTCTTTGGTGACGACTATGTAAGCTACAGGAAGAGGGTCGGTACACTAATGCCGTTAATACGATAAAGCTAGAAAGACAAAATAGACCTGACAGTGGGGAGGAATCATGATAATAATCCAACTAGCATTGCTCAGCATTTATAGAGGTTGTGAATCGAAAGCATGAATCATCACATCTTATGATAGCCAATCAATATCCATTTTTGTGTACTTCTCCCACTTGGACGAGCCGAGAATATAATCAAAAGCCCACCCATACCGTGCATCTCTTACGTCTGTATATCTATGGACGTGATTATCATTACTCAATCAAAGCCGCTGTTTACATGTCCAAAGCGAAATCCCAGGCCTGCGTCAGTGGTGCACCGGGTGTGGTACCCTACTCACGCTGCCGTACTTGGCCTGCCAAGCGTAGAAATACATCAGCGCCGCGAATGGCTGCCCAAAAATTGTAAACGAAACCCAGAATATAACATTTCCAAGGATGCGGCCGCCATGGCCGAGTTTCATCTTCTCAAGCGGGGTAGTAATGGCGATGAGAGGGAGCTGGAGAAACATGCCGAAGAAAGCGACGCCTAGTGAAACCTGTTAGCAAACAACTCTCGAAGTGAGCCTCTGATATCCCAAGACATACCGATAATATTATGCGTTGGAACACCAACGAGGATTTCGTGAAGAACCGCAGAAACAAAAAAGACGGCGAAACTGGCAGCAGCAGGGCTCCAGCCTCGTCCGATCATGGGCATATAGACATGGCGCTTGAAGTAAGTATAAACAGGTTTGTTCCACGTCCTCCAGTAGGCGCCCAAGCTTTCACTATTCCACCAGTCGTCGTAGAACGATCTGTCGCCAAACCTCATCACCTCGGCAAGGGCGTTTAAGAAGGACTGGAAGAGCGCAAAGAAGCCAGCCAGCCAGATGACCAAGGAGATTGTCGAAAGTTTCATGAGTCGCTCCAAGATGTTGGGTAGATCAAGAGAGGCAATCTTGTCGAGTGAATTGCGCAAAACCGGCGTTGCATATTGAGCGGTGGCAACCCAGATGAAGACAGCCAGGCAAAAGATCTCTCCGAGTCGCTTAAACACAAAAACCCATCGAATCTTGTCGGTCCGCGGATAAACAGGTTGATACACCAGGGTTGGAGCCCACCAGAAGTACACCAGGTTCTTCATCGTCACGTTTCGCGGGTATGGGCAGGATTTGTACAACTCAGGCACTTCTTCTCCCGCAACTGGATGCAGATAGGCGTGACGGAGATCTCGATTGGTGAATGCATACGAGGCCGTCTTGAGCCACACGATGATGGCGTGCATCTCGGTCAATGTGCCAATCAACGGATGATAAACATGAAAATAGACCACGACAGTGGTGATGGCGAGGGCAAGAGTGATGTTTGTTCCATGGGCCAAAGCCGCGAGAACCCAAATCGAGTGGAACTTCTTGCGCTCTGCTTCCGAAGGGCCAACGCTGTTGTCCTTGATTCGCTTCCTTGACCCTTCAGCCTGCTTGGCGGCTACAAGCTCTATCAGGTATGCCGCAAACAGATGGCAGGGAATGAGAAAATAAAGCAAGAGACCCAGGAAGAGATCTTGACGTCTGTAGTCGTGACACCTGATACAGATCAAGACGCCGTACTACACCAAAGGCAGATGCATGTCAGTGCTACGTCACCCACTCCACGTCTCGCGACACGTTGAAGCAAATGCTCTACGCACCTTTTGAATATTTTCAATCATCAATCGCAGATTGCCAACAACTGATTGCACGTTAGAGGGATGATCTCATTAAAAAGAACAAGGACAAGTCGCCATTCGGACGGGATCCGTACCCAGCACAATGACCATGAGATTGCGGAATCCGAGAAAGCTAGGGGCCGCAGGGGAGTCGTGGCTCAGGCACGACGGCCTCGTCTGGGAATGCACCGCGGCGACATGGCGATACTTTTTCTGCGGTGTCTTGGGCTTGGACGGCCGGTCCTTGGTCGTGCCGTTGACGGGCTCCACTGAGGTTAGATCTGCTTCGTTTTGTGAGGCGTTGCGGCGAGACACGGAGCCGGTAGAGGCCTCGACGCTGGTGGCCGTGGAGGACTCTGTGGGAGGCGCCATGCTCGGGTCCTACGATCTGGCCCTTTGCTGTTGACAGAGAGCGTGTAGGTGTAACTTGCAAAGAGAGGCGGCAAACGGGATTACTTGAGATGGGGGATGATGGAAGGAGAACTGTCGGATCGAGGAGACGGTACGAACAGGGAACAAGCTATTAGGTCCTGATCAAGCTTCAGCTACCCAAGGGAGGGGCTCTAGGCCGGCATAGCATTGAGTTTATCTTTCCCGCAGCCCGCGTACCTCTACTAAACTCCTTGTGCTCTACGTGTACAGTACAGTTACTTTACCGGTCGGCAAATTGCCTCAATGTGCCTCGGTGTGAATCCAGCGTATCGGCGTCGACCGAAATGAACGTGAGAGAGTCAGGCTCCTATCTAATGTAAGGGTGACGGTTCAGATGGAGCCGGGCTGGGAGGACATTTCCCTGGCCCCAAAGCCGCATTGGAAAAGAGAGAGAAAAAAGTGACTTCGTATTTTAGGTGCGGTTGACGGTATTAAAAGGTACACGGCCTGCGTTAGTCGCTGTATCGTCAAATTGACCAGTGGCGGCATTAGCGGAAAATAGCGGGTATCAACTGCTGGGTTCCGGACAGTGGGGCGGAGGAGCTTGAATGAACAAGGGCAACTGCCTCAGTTACTATTAGTAGTAGCAGCGAGAGAAGAAGAAAAGCATGTGAAAGCTGCGGATTATTCATCAAATATTGTGTATGGTGGTCATCTAGAAGCTCGTCAGTTAATAGAATGCCCTATGTTCAGAATGGAGCATGGAATTAATTGAGCCACATGGGTACACATACCATGTAATACAACAAGTTCCTCGCGGACATCTTCTTCCTGAATCCCAGGCACTAACAACGGCTTTGCAAAGCTTGTGCTCCATGCAGTGGCAAGCATCCCTACATGAGTTCCAATATCAAATGTGATAGATATACGCTCAGGTATGCACTTACTGCTGCCTTTAGGCTACCGCCTTGCAGTTAACTGATAAGCTATCAAATCTGAGACTGGGTATCTTATGAGCTCGCACCAGTTATTCTCTCTCTCAAAACGTGAACAGCGAGCTACGTGAGACTCCGCCTTTGATGATGCGGCACTCACAGTCACATTCATATTTTGATAACGCAATATTTCGAGACAGACAGACAGACGTTCAAACTCGACGTCTTCTCAGTTTCTACCACTAACATTCCCCAATGGAGCATGAGTGCACTACCACATGGATAATGGATGGCACTTATTCCAATTTTGCTGACTAAGGCTAAGACGACCTCAGTGTGCGTCACATGACCTGCAGCCAATCAACGCTTGTTCTTCGCCTGACGCTCTCAAGGCGCGGGCTTCACAGAAATGAGACTTTCATCTTCACAAGCAGTCCTACAAGCTCTCCATTGAGCCCTTGTTTCGCCAAAGAATCCTTCTTTTTCTTATTGGGAGGCGTGTATAAATATATTAATATTGTATTTCATCCGCTTATCCGTAGCATCCATCGAATTTACCACTCCGGTGCATGATCAGCACTTTAACGGGAACACGCGACGATGGCTTATGAGCCTCGTGGTGAGCATGGCGATCGGGGAGGTGGTGGCCAGGGCCAAGATGGCTCCTATATGAAAGTCCGCGGTCGAAGTGAGTCTATTCTTCATTCTCCAGATCTCATCATCACACGTACCTCTGCCGTGCTATTCGTCTTGCCTTAGTACTATCCAGTAGGACCTACTCGTTCTCATCTATAGCTTTCAAGGGCGGTCATGTCCTATAGCAAACCACCCATTATGAGAGCAATATTCTTGATGGCTCCCCCATTTGCCTTGACCATGAATCATGGTCTATTGTCTGGCTTCTAAAAGTGTATGGGCAAGTGCCTACCAACATACCTCTTGTTTTGCCGACTGCATCCTGATCTGCTTTGGCCTAGTCCATTTATACCTATTGTCAACATCGTGGATCAAGATAAAACAACTCAGAATCTACCAGAGCAAGGTTAGCTAATGAGTATCTCAACAGGGCCTGTAACGGACTACAGCGCCAGTGTCCTACACTGGATGCGAGACCGCGTTCCCAACTATCGAGGTGGCTACACCGGCGAGAGGGAACGCCCAAGCGCGAGCTACATCGTGGATGTGAGAAACAAACTGGACTTTGAACGACGATATCAATCAATAAAGTTGACTAACACTCCTCAAGATGATTCCACCCGCAGGGCGACCAGTATTTCCCGCTGATTCCATCCCGGCCAAGCACCTCCACTCATCGCTAAATAAAATCAAGCACCCTATCAATGTGGTTCGATGGACTCCGGAAGGGCGCAGATTACTAACAGCGTCAACAAGCGGTGAATTTACCCTTTGGAACGGCACTGGCTTCAACTTCGAGACAATTATGCAGGCTCATGACTCCGCCATTCGCGCCTTGGAGTACTCGCACAGCGATGACTGGCTGATTTCAGGCGACCACGATGGAGTCATCAAGTACTGGCAGCCAAATTTCAACAACGTCAAGAGCATCAATGCTCATACAGACCCCATCAGAGACCTTGCGTTTAGTCCCAACGACTCCAAATTCGTCACTGCCTCGGACGACTCTACTCTCAAGATTTTCGACTTTGCTCTTGGGCAGGAGGAGCTGAAGCTCGAAGGCCACGGCTGGGACGCCAAGTCTGTTGACTGGCACCCAACCAAAGGCCTGATCATTTCCGGTTCCAAGGACCACTTGGTCAAGCTTTGGGACCCTCGGACAGCGCGAAGCCTCACTACGCTTCACGGCCACAAGAGCACCATCACCAAGGTTCTGTTTGAGAAGAAGCTCGGCCGGTGCTTTGCAACGTCGGCTCGAGACCAAACAGCCCGCGTCTTTGATCTGCGAATGATGCGAGACATTGTTCTTTTAAAAGGCCACGAAAAGGACATTTCCACTTTGGCCTTCCACCCAATTCATGCCAATCTCCTTTCCACTGGTGGCATGGACGGATCACTCTTCCACTATATGCTCGACACCCCGAACCCTCCAGCCGGTCAGCCTCTTACCGTCGCCCCTTACGACAGTCTCGACCCAGAATCAACTCCCGCCCAATCAATTTGGCCCACACACAAGGTTCCATTTGCACACGACTACGCCATCTGGTCTCTGGACTGGCACCCCCAGGGTCATATCCTGGCATCTGGCTCCAACGACCGCATCACCCGATTCTGGGGCCGTGCCCGACCTGGCGAGACTGAAATCTTCCAGGACCGGTACCATATTGGTGAGGCAGCTGCCGAAGCACAAGGCACATGGGACAGGCGTGGCAATCGCCGCCAGCGCCAAGAGGAAGAGCAGCGCGAGATGGAGGACGAGATGGACGCTCTTGTCGATCAGGATGCCCCCAAACCTACCGTTCCCGGCTTGACTGGCATTCCTGGTCTGCCTTTGGGTGGAGGCGCCGTTCCTGGCCTCGGCTCGAATATACCACCGCCACCGATTGCTCCTGGAGTCGGCGTTGGCGCGGGAGCTCCTCCTCTACCTCCTCCGCCTCCCTTTGGCATCCCCGGCTTTAACGGGGCACCGCCGCCTCCGCTGCCCGGCCTGGATCTTCACAACCCTCCGGACCCGGCAAAGCTTCTCGAGCTGATGCAACAGGCCGGCGTCCCCATACCACCTCCAGGATCCCTCCCTCCAGGCCTGATCCCGCCACCGGGAGGAATTCCTCCTCCGCCGGGTAACTTCCAGCTACCCATTCCTCCTCCACCAATGAACCCTGCCGACATGGATCCGAACCGTCGACGTGCACCTCTTCCCAGTCAAGAAGAGAGCCTCCGCCAGGAGCAGCGGCACGGGAAGTACACCCGCGCCCGGTAGAACGAGCCATTCAGCTCAGCTTTCTTGAGAGTTGTATTGAAAGGTTGATCAGTCGATACCCCCTTTTCGGCGTTTGGCGGCATAGTGATGGACGTGTGAAAGCGGCCTCTTGTCATGGCATTTTTTTGGGTTTGAGGAGATTGCCATTCAATTGTATGCTTCAAAGGCACAATTGCTTTATTTATTTATTTTTACAGTTGTCATATCACAGAGTAAAGGTTTACAGGATTATAGCGGCTAATCAAGGGGACGTTTTAAATCTGATTTCTATCTGATGGGGGGGGCTAATAGTTATATAAAAGTACATGTGATGCTATGCTGTGTGATGCTGCTGGGTTGCCTGTGTCTATTCGAAAGGGCAAAGGCGGTAATGATGAAGTGCATGTGATGGCATAAATATTCAAACAAGTCGCTCTCTTATGGCGTTGTAGATGCCGGTGAATAAAAAGCAAAACGTCAGATCTATATCCGCACATGTTCGTGGCGTGTCGTGGCGGTAACAAAGGAGAAATAGGTGTGGTTGGTGATGATAAAAAGTGCGCAATCAATCTCAGCTTTCGGATACACACAAGAACGACTAATTCTATCAAGATGTAGCTTAGGCTCTCTCGTCTCCCTCGCAAAACGTCATCCAAGCCTCACGCAGAAGACGACCGGCCCTTGGCAAAGGACTTTTGCCTCTCGTTGTAGTCCTTGATGATGAGGGAGCAGGTGGTATCGGCGCAGAGCCTCCTCCTCCGCTGCATGGGCAGCTGGTTGGCGAACTCGAGGCCGCTGGCGCGCTCGACGGCCTCGACGGGGACCTCGAAGTCGGTGATGGGCTTGGCGTTATCGATGGGGGCGTTGGGCAGGACAAAGGCGCCAATGGCAACGTTGCCGCCGGCGCGGCCGTCCTCGGCGAAGATGACCTTGTAGAAGTGCGTGGGCACGGCGACGGAGGGCGGGGAGCCGATCATCTCGTACTTGACGTACCACTTGTTGTCGATGGGGTCCTTCTTGGGCAGGTACAGGGGCCCCGTGACGATGCGCACCGAGGGATATCTCTGCGTCAGGCGGCGGCAAAAGTCCTCAAAGTGCGCCCAGTAGTCGCGGTTGAAGCCCTCGCCGACCTGGGGGCTCATGTTGGTCAGGTAAAACGTCTCGTCCATGGCGGCCTGCGACCACTTTGCGTCCGCGGCGGGGACCTGGTGGCCTCTGTCGTAGCCGCTGCGGTAGTAGTCCTTGAGCAGGGCGCGGAACTTTGCGGGCACGCCCGCGTCCTCGAGGAACTGGCTGTTCTTGCGGTCGCCGTCGCGCTTGGCCAGGGACTCGGGGGTGATGTGCTCGACGACCCAGTGAGGGTTGCGCATGCGCCGGTCGTAGCTCGAGATGAGGGCGGCGCGGCTGGCGATGTCGGAGACGGGGCCCGGGAAGCCATACTCGAACAGGCCGCCTGGGTTGACGGGCGCAGAGCCCAGGGCCGGCGAGGGAGCGCCCGCAGATCCAAAGATTTGGTTGGCCGGGATCGTAGCGACGGCGGTCGAGGAGGAGGCGATGGCAGTAGAGGACAGTGAAGAAGAAGAAGAGGGAGCGAGCGTGGGTGGCATCTCTGCGGTCTTGTCTTTGCTGGGGCGGAGAGAGTAGAGAGCGGCAGTGAGAGCGGCGCCTCCTCCAGCGCTGAGGGCAGCGATGGCGACGGAAGTCTTGATCATGGCGATTATATATAGTAGGTAGACCGGCTTATATATGTGTATATATGTACCTATAAATATGTGCGTGTGAGCAAAAAGCACTTGATAGGATAGGTAGCGGAAAGCTGAGAATGGCGGGCGAAACGTACAAGAGAAGCAGAAACGCTTCGAAGCCCGCAGCGAACACGTCAGGCGAAAGGTCCAAGGCCAGCACGGGGCGAGGCCAAGCTGCTCACGGGATTTGCTCGACGGAGGGTTGATCACCGCATGCGCACATGCAAGCTTGGGATCAATATGTCTCGAAGAAACGCTGACGTCGCACCCGGCTGAAGGCGCACGAGACCCCTGGACAAGGCTGAAGGGGAAAAAAAAAAAGAAGCGGCAGAAGGAAAAATAGATTAGCGGGCTTCCATCCAGACAGGGCTCCACGCCTGAGACGTAGCGGCTCCAAGGTTCTCAGGGTCCAGTAGCGCCATGTCCGCTTTAGGCTCCCTCAGGCGGTCGCTTTTTTTTGCCTTCCAGGGGCTGCAACATGCTGATTGATTTGATCAATGGCATTATGTCAAGTGGCATAAGCCAGGGGGGAAAGTCCGTTTCTGCTTCTCTCTACCGAGCAGTAGTACGACGGACCTGTGCTTTACTTTTTTTTTTTTCTTTCAAGGTTCTTTTTCCCTGGTTTCTCCATTCCATCTCCTGCAAGCGTGTTTTTTCGGTGTCTTCTTCATGGTCTGGGAGCCGTCTCTGGACTCTTCTCTGCGCGCCTCCGAGATCCCTTGCCCTCGCCCTCTCTGCCTCTGCCTATACCAGCCCACCGCCAGTCTCCCGCTGAGAGAGTGTGAGAGAGGAAGAGGCCGGTGGAAGCAGCTTACAGGTACTGGCACTCGCGTGACTGGACTGGACTCGGACTGGCCCTTTTAGACTCGCTGATCCAACCGCTCGGCGCAGCAGCCTAGCTCAACTCGCGAGCCGTACTGCGACTCGACCGCTGTGGCCGCTCCAGCCGCTACGCTACAGCACCCGTGGCACGCTGAGCCCGGCTAGGCTCTAGGGGACCGAGACAGCTGGAACCCCTATAACGTAACGACACGGACGAAGCGACCCGACGATATTGACCACCTCAGCGCCGGCCGGTATCATGCAGTACCCCCATGCCGGCAGCCTCCCCAACGGCTTCTCGTCAGCGCCAAACTACTCGGCCACCAAGCACAAGGCCATTGAAGATGCTCGTGCCGCCCAGGCCATCGTGGTGCACGAGTGCGCCGAGGCCGGCCGCGAGGTGCCGCCCTACAAGCTGCTGGAGCTCATCGGCAAGGGCAGCTTCGGGCGCGTGTACAAGGCCGTGGGCACCAAGACGAGCCAGCTGGTGGCCGTCAAGGTCATCAGCATCGAGGAGGGCGACGGCATCTCGCCGGGCGCGGCCGATACCTTTGGCGACATCATCAAGGAGGTCAACACGCTCAAGCTGCTGAGCAACAGCGGCGCCCGCAACGTCAACGCCGTCGTCGACACCCAGCTGGTCGGCCAGGCCGTCTGGATGGTGACCGAGTACTGCGCCGGCGGCAGCGTCGCGTCCCTGATGCGGCCCACGAGCGGCCTAGCAGAGCGCTGGATCATCCCGATCCTACGCGAGGTGGCCGAGGCGCTGTTCTGGGTGCACAAGCAGGGCATCATCCACCGCGACATCAAGTGCGCCAACGTGCTCGTCACCGAGGCGGGCGGCGTGCAGCTGTGCGACTTTGGCGTCGCCGGCATCATGGAGACCAAGTTCGACAAGCGCAGCACCATCACCGGCACCCTGCACTGGATGGCCCCGGAGCTCTTCGACCCCCATGTCGCCTACGGCATCGAGGTCGACATCTGGGCCTTTGGGTCCATGGCCTACGAGATCGCCAACGGCCTGCCGCCAAACGCTACCGCCAGGATCAACATCCAGCAGTTTGGCGCCTACCTCAAGCAGCATCGCCCGCGTCTGCAGGGCGACAAGTTCTCTGACAACCTCAAGAACCTCATCGCCTTCTGCCTGGTGGAGGACCCCAAGCGACGGCCGCCCATAGAGGAGATCCAACGACACCCCTACATCTTCAACACGCAGGACAGATATCCAACCGTCTCTCTTTCCAAGCTGGTGGCCGATTATAAGCACTGGGAGTCTCAGGGTGGCAGCAGGCAGTCTCTCTTCTCGGCCGGCGGCGCTCAGGGACCGCGCAGGGACCGATCTCCGGTCCGCCAGAGCGGCTGGGACTTTGGAAACTTCGACGAGGTGGATGAGCTCATGTTCCAAAACACGGCCAAGCCGCGTGCCGCTCCCGAGTACTACCCCAGCGTTGCCTCGAGCCCCGAGAACACGGCAAGGCCAATGCAACGCCGCCGCAGGCGTCCACCGCCAACCATGAAGGAGCTCAAGGCGCCTCTGGAAAAGGTGTTTGATCCGTATACAATCACCAACTATGGCGACAACTCGCGAGCCTGGTATGGCAGAATACCGATGCCACCTCCAACTTCGGCCCCGCCGCCATCCTCCCAGAAGAAACCAAAGCCAGAGCTCAAATCAGAACCGGCAGCGCCGGCTCGCGAGTCGTTGATCGATCTTGACCTTGCGTTTGACGACACCCCGGCGACGCCCAACCTTGACGAGGAGACAATCAAGCCAGCCACCCGGCCCATCTCGATTGACTTGAGCGGATCCGTTGACGAGCGCCGCAAGACTCAAGACTGGGACTTTCCAGCCAAACGCGCCACTCAGGAATGGTCATTTCCCACTTCAGACAAGCGGGATACACAGGAGTGGTCCTTTCCCACAGCCAAACGCGACACCCAAGAGTGGAAATTTCCAACCTCGGAGAAGCGAAAGACGCAGGAATGGAGCTTCCCTTCAGAGGACAAGCGAAGCACGCAGGAGTGGACGTTTCCCACAGCCAAACGCGACACTCAGGAGTGGAGTTTTCCAGCCATGACGCCCAGATCGGCCACCTTTACGCCCAACCCAGACAACTATAGCGATAACGAGGATTACTCTGGTGACGCACACGCATCTCATCCGCCTCAATTTGACGACATGGGCGCCTCGACGAATCGGGACTCGGCCATGAGTCTTATTGATCTCGATGCCTCTTTGGCAGACGACGGGGGGTACAGTGCCCCTGGTTCCTTTGTGCCAAGCTCGCATGTGCGATCGTCCGACTCGGTCCACGGATCTCTGTCCTTTGACCTGGAACTTGAAACCGAGGCGGAAACGAACACAAGAGAGCCCTCTCTATACATAGATGATGACATGGAGTCTGTCCCTTCCCTCACACGGCAATTGAGCGACCTGCAGAGCACGCCTACGACCCCTGACGAACGGCCAAACATTGCGTGGGAATCATCTGGTCTGGGGATCATGACGAGTGCTCGGAATTCCATGATGCTTTCCCTCCCGCCCCTTCCCAATGCCCCCTCGCCAAATGTTCTTCAAGGCTTGGGCTCACAAGAAGACTTGAAGAACGAACTATATCACATGATATCAAGCATGAGAGAACACCTTCAGTACGCGAATGACTGGCTGAAAACATTTGATACCCCCACACATGAAGAAGACGAGGAAGAGCACCACGACGAAGAGGAGGAGGAGGAGGAGGAGGAAGACGCATAGCAAGCAAGCAAGCATAGCATAGCATCTGCACTTTTTTGAGACATTTCTTATCATTTTTTTTGCATAATCATTGGCTACTATATCTTTTTATCCACAGCTGTCCGCCCATCACACAGCTCATCCAAATCGCCATACATTTATATATATACACAACAACATCAACATCATCATCATTTACATATATACCCCCTTTGCGCGCTGGTCGAAGGAAAGGAAGTGGAAGAGAAGGGGGGAAACAAGGAAACAAGGAAAGAGGAACAAGTTAATGTCGGATTTTGTAATATTGCCCGGGTCGTTATTTTTTATTGTTTTTATTGTTTTTTTCTATATACGACAACAACCTAACGTTGTATGATACAAATGAATGAAAGCAGGATATTTTCTATTTTTTTTATTTTGGTTTTGATTTCTCTCACTTTTTGTTGAAAGCGTGCGACGCTTTATTTTATTTTACTTATATTTTCTTGGTTTTTCTCCGAGTCTTGTTGGACATTTGATATTGGGGTTGCTATAGCCATAGCAGCAGATGCTAGGGAAATGTTGGAATGGTAGCAGACACTAGAATAAAGCATATCGCCTGTATTCACCCTCGTCGTTGGCTGTTGAAAGCTAAAAGGTTAATAACCATCATATCATAGCTTAATTCTACCCAGAAAAGAAATGCCTACTTCAATGATCCCCCCCATGGTGCAACGTCTCTATCTCCATCATCTTTTACCCTCACAAACCATTAATTGCACCAGAATGAGGGAAAAGTCTCCACGTAAAATCAAGCAACGGGGTACTGTATAAATTTCACAATTAAAAAAAAAAGTTTCGCCTAAAAAGAGAATGCTGAGTCTCATAAATCAACTCATGACCCAACGCCTCTTGACCTCCTCGGTTTCTCAAATCGAATCGTCACTGAGCCACGACTCATGAGTCCGGTGGCCCCCCTTCCTCTCGTTCCCATCACGAATGACCCTCCATCTCTTTTTAAACGTATTGGGACAGCCACCTGATACCATCGCCGTAACCCTGTCGCATAACCACGGAGCACATGAAGAGCTCGATAGGTCGGATACCCTCCAGCTGCATCCGGCCCTTTCCGGTCGTCTGGTACAGGCCCAGTTGGTGTCTCAGCTCGTCCTCGGAAACGGCGTCGGGGTGGTCGATCTTGTTGCCCAGGATCACAAAGGGAACCTTGGAAAGCTCCTCCATAGCCAAAAGGGCGTCGAGCTCGGCCTTAGCCTCGGGGAATCGCTCGTGGTCCTTGGCGTCGACAAGGAAGACGACGCCGTTGACGTCGGGGAAGTAATCTCTCCAGATACGACGGGCTGGTAGACAGGCAATATGGTAAGTATACGCGTGATACCCAAAGGGGGGCTCCCAATGGTGGGGTTGAAAGTTGCAAGGGAGACAAAACTAAACAATTAAAGTTAAATAATAGACATACCTTGCTGGTGACCGCCCAAATCGAAAGTGTTGAATCGAACGTTGCCAATGGCGAGTTCCTCAGAAGCTGCAGGTGTGTCAGAACGATCAAGGCCCTCATGCATGCAAACCCCGCGGCGGGAGCGGAAAACTTACTAGGGTGGAGAGTAGGTTGCAGGATAGCAACTCGGTCGTTCTACAAGAAATCCGAACGTCACGTTAGAATATCGTATCCCTCGCAGTTCGGTCCCGTATTCTGTGTCGTAGGAATCGACCATGTGCGCAACAGCCCATCCGCCGCAGAAGCACGTGTGCGTGTTGCGCCATGGTCTCTTTTCTCACCCCCGGTCTCTCTTATCGGCGACATACCTTGAGCATGTGAAGCAACGTGGTCTTTCCGGCATTGTCGAGACCCAGGAAGAGCAGCTTGGCGTGTTTGTTGAGCAAGCCCAAAGACGACAAAACATCGTAGACTAGACCGAGAGACCAAGGGAAAAAACGTCAGCCTCCGCGTTGTCGTCGCCGCCCTATGCAAGAGAGTTGCATAGCAGAAAAGCGGCGGGATCAAAATAAGACCCAAGGACGGAATACATACACCAGTTAACAATCCACATGGTGGGCGATTGATTGCGAAGCCAACAGGGTGTTTGTACTTGTCGGTATCTCGGAGCCTCGATGGGTGCAAGGGGGAGAAGAGGAAGACAAAAAAGGAACAAGCAAAAGAAGTTGGAAGTGTGATGATGTCGACGCAGGCTAGAATGGGATCGGAAAGGACAATCATGTGTTTTACCGCCTGTATGGAAGGCAAGGGACGAGAACACGTGACGTGCCTTGTTGCTCAGGCACCAAACTCTGCGACTTGTGAGATGGTGGCAATTCTGCGCAGTCGGAAGGTATATTTTGTTGGCAAACCACTGCAGTGAGGAATCCGCATCTCCATCGTATTCTACAAGATATATATATATATATATATCATATATTATTTTCCGGCATACATCGGTTAAAATTACATTTCGTGACGATGTGTTCTTTTGGGTTTCCCTGCTCAATCTATTCTGGCCTTTTCAATAGATCAACATACGTGGCGTAGATCGATCCAAACTGGGTTCACCTCTACGGATTACGTGGCTTGAGAGCATCCCTTTTGTCACTCACTGAAACAGTCACAACATTATCATTATGAGCGAAATCAGTTTTTGAGTTGTAATCTTTTCAGATTCAGTATTACTAAGGTATCTAGTAATAATGCCGACAGCATTCAAGTGTCTGCCTCCAACGCCAGCTGAGAACCCGCATCCCAATGCGCCTCATGGTTGTATCCAAAAAGCAGGCAAAAAAAGCCTTCCCGCCCTGGGTCCATTGGTTGTACTGTCTTCAGTTTGCTTGCTTTCCGCTGATAAGAGGGAAATGACAAGATGATCAAGTATAAATATCGTTATGTACAGGAGCCGCCTATCAAAAAGAGGCAAATCTCCGAGAAAAATCATGTAATTATATAAAATAGAAAAGTCGTGAAAATCGTCAAGGAAAAAGAAAAGGGGACAAAAGAAAGAAGATTGGACGCTGGTCTAATAGGACGGGACTGTGGAACCCAAGCCTATTGAATGCTCAACTCCTCTCCGATGCGTGTCTCATTTCCATCCGTTGAAAATGCAACAGTGGCCAAGACCATCAGAAAGTAAAAACTTTTTCTCCTCTAGCACGAGAGAACGTAGTTGCCCGGGTCCTTCTTACCCGCCATGAGCAACCCAAGTTCTCGCATGCGTTCGGCGCCGAGGCCAGGAAGCGGCTTGCGCTCAGGGATCTGCCCACGTCGGGCGCGATCGCAATACTTCTGGAAGAACTTTTCCTTGCGGCGCAGGCGCTTCTTCTCAAGGCCCTTGACGATGTCAATGGCACTGCGAATGTGTCCATCAGTGTCAGAGGAGGTTTTTGAGCCCTTGGGCTGCTTCTGATGGCGGAAGATGGCTGCAGGTCTAGGCAGGGACTTGGTCTGGGTGAGACCGGGGCGGCCAGCCAGTTGAAACTTGGTGTGCGCACCCTGTCGGGGAGTCTGTATGGGAGTGGCAATGGCCACAGCCTTGGGAGCCGGGGAACGGGCTCGACGAGGCGACTGGCGGTCAAAAAGAGGCTTAGGAGAGCGAGCGCGAGGCTTGGGGGCGGGAGAGCCGCGTCGCTTGGGAGGGGGAGAACGGAATCGTCGGGGAGATGGATTGGCGTTCTTGCGCCTCCTTCGAGCACGGTCCGTCTCCATATCGAGATCCTCCATGGCGCCGTGGACCCAAGGATGATCGTCGCTGTCAGCAGCAGCCACATAGACATCCTCATCATCCTCCTCGTCAAGGTCCGAAGCCGGGAAGCTAGGGTCAATGTCTTGAGGGATAATGCGCAGCTTCTCGTTTCTGCGAGCGGCGAGGCATGAGAGGTAGGCGTCTTCAACGGGTCGGTCCTCGTCCAGAGTGCCGCATACGAAGTCGGTACTATCTGGCAGGTCCGGAGCCTCGACTTGAGGTCCGATGGGGCGAGCCTTGACGGATCGACGAGGGCTGCGTCTGGAGCCAATGGAAGAATCCGACTGCTCAGTCAACGAGAGTCGACGAGCCAAGCGGGGGGTGACCTGGCGTGGGACAGATGGGGCACGGCCCGGCGTCCACAGGATCATGTTTTCGTCCCCGTCATCATCCTCATCGGAATCAGCGAAGCCAGTTTCCTCATCAGTGTGGTAGCCGTCGGAGCCGTCGTCCGCTTCGTCATCCTCGTCATCCTCGTCATCCTCATCCTCATCTTCATCTTCATCTTCATCCTCCTCCATATCCAAGACATCAAGCTCATCATCCTCATCCTCGTCTTCGTCATCTTCTTCATCTTCGTCATCCATGGCAGTCTCGGCCTCATCTTCCTCTCGTTCCTCCATCTCAGCCTCCTCTTCGGCTTCAGCTCCCAGACGACGAAACAGGTTCTCCTTGACCAGGGTATCCGAAATGGTAAGCTTGGTCTGAGTGGAGTCCTCTTGTCGGATCCAGTCGTCCTCGCGAGCCATGCCACTGGCAAACTCGTGGAACTGAGATGCGTCCCTGATGAGCTCCGTTGATGAAGCACGAAGGAATCGAGGTCGAACAAGCGAGGCCTTGCCAGACTCCTGCTGAGCAGGCACGAGTCGAGGAGAGATGGGGACGGGATGAGTCATGCTCCGCTTGGGAGTGGAGGGCTCGTAGGGCTTGGGTGAAGTCTTCTGTGCGGAAGACGGGCGAGCTGTGCAGGCAAACTTGATGCAGCGCTTTGGCGGTTCCTGCGCCAGGGGGGTCTTGAGCGCAGGGGGAGAGGCAGCTGACGAAGCAGCAACAGGAACGGCCTGTGGCTGAGCCTGAGGCTTGGCGGCACAGGCAAACTGGATGCATCGCTTTCGAGGAGCTTCTTGGACAACGGGCTCCTCCACTTTCCTGGCACCGAAGAAGCTGGCTAGGAAGCCAGGCTTCTGGTCAGCAGCGCCGTGGCGAAGACGAAGCGTTGAGAGGTCTGGGAGAGGTGGGCTGGGAGTATTGGTTCGGGAAGGGCTGGTGAGACCAGTATCGCTGGTCAAATCAGCGGTGGAAGCAATACTAGCATTGCTGACCATGGAACGGCGGCGCCGGCTGTAGGTTTTGGAAGGGTGAAAGATGTGGCCGTCCTCCTCATCAGACTGTCCCAAGATGGCCTGGGTCAGTAGCGAGGATGCGACCTGTTGTGGGCGGACCGGCGCTCTCTGGAAAGGCAGAGGCTTGGGCGTGGGCATGTACAGCCTGAGTTCTGGGGGTTCGTCAAGGTCCTCGACGAGATCTGAACCTTGTATCGCCCACTCGGGGGCTTGTGACGTTGAAGGAAGAGTTGCCATGATCGATATTGTAGGCATTAGGACTTTTGAGGTGGCGGTGGTGGTGGTGAGTGAATTTCAAGCAGGCGGTTGATTTGAGCTCCGGGTCGAGAAAAAAAAGAGGTCCAGGTAGAGCAACAAAGAAGTCGTTGCAACGTTCCGAAACTGCTTTAAAGCAGGACAAGGAAGCAATCGACAAAAGAGTTTGAAGGTGGCTCAACTCGAGAGGGGTTGGAGGATTGTGTCGTAGCAGGGCGAAGCGTGTAAGCCGACACGAAGCTTGCAGCCGGGGCGAGAACAAGGTCTCGTAACAAAAATATGTCCCTGAGGACGACGATGCTATAACATCAAAACCAACATGATCAATACCAAAGAGTCGGAGCAAAGGTAGTGGATGTGAAAAGGACTAAGAAGCCTTTTCGGGGCCCGGGCGTGTGGTATAAGAGTGTTTGAGGCGGGCGAGAAGGCCAGTCCACTTTAAGCAGCGCAGTGTGGTGATCCGGGGGGGGCAGGCTCGCAGGTCGAATCAACGCAAAGCAACGACAAAAAAGGGTCTTGCAGTTGCGGGTGTGCGGTTATAGCAATAGAGGAGCCCTTCTTGGCAGATTCCGGATGACGTCCGTCCAGATGTGGCGTGGCGGACCTGACACGACAGAAGCCGGGAGGTCGGTAGGGGTGTGACGAGGCGTGGACGTAGACGCCGATGCAGGGATCTGCGATGTCTGGGAGATGGATTTGGATTTGGATCTTTGGATTTTTGGATTTGGACAAGAACAAGGCGAGACAGACGTCTGAGACAGCGCTGCCCGTGCTCGAATCCGCGTGCTTGGCGCAATCCTTTCTGTCTTGGAACGATGCCGGAGCGAGAGGAGAAACGGCGAGAGAAAAAGACCAGAGGCCGCCACGCACACAGTGGAAAGAGAAGAAGAGGGAAGAAGAAAAAAAACAGGCCGGCGGCAGAACGACTGGCGAACCCGAAAACTGGTGAGGGATAATAGCTGATCTGCCGCCACTGCAGACTAGCACAAAAGCATCCATCCACCCTTCATTCTCGTACGGAGTACAAAATGCAAAAAACGGGGACTGGGGATGGAGAGAAAGCCCCAGAATAATGGAAGCCCATACAGTGCGAGGCCGATCGCTGCACGTGCCTGACCATCCTGTTTTAGTGCCTCGTGCCGCTCAGGACCAGCATCATTCTGGACTGCAGATGAGCAATGGCGCCTGGGGGGGACACAGTGTAGACAGTGTGCGGGCGCCGCAGCTTGGGAGCGGGCACGAGCACGGTGGGATTGGATTGCACACATTCAGTCACAAGCACAAGCACAAGCACAAGCACAAAAAAGCACCAGACCAGACCTGAGCAAAACAGTTGACAAGTTACAGAACCGTGTGGGGGCTTCTGAGAAGGGGGTGCACGCAAGACTTTAGGGGGGGTTCGCAAATTGCCCAGCAAGAGGACGGGAGCCACTGAGTGGTTTTTCCTTGGCGCTGGGCAAGTTTGATTTTCGCCGCGGCCAGTGTGTTCTGTTCCAGGCGCTTGCTTTTTCTTTTTTTTTTTTTACCCCCTTCGTCTCTCCTCTGGCTGGGCTGGGTCTTTCCACTCGCTCTCTTTCGGCATGGCGTGGCTGAGCGCCGCCTCGATTCGCTGGCTGCAGGGCTCCAGCCGGCGAATGGCCAGCGCTGTTAGTGCCTGTACTGGATTGTACTGTAGCGGACTGGCAGCACCCGTTCCAGGGCCTTTGCGCGCCAGCCATCCACCAAGCTTGAGCTGTGCTGTGCTGCCAACGCCGTGCGGGTCACAGTCATCAATTGAGCGCACCCGACCTGCAATGAAATTTCTCAAGCCCGCGCTGGACGCAGAAAATTGGCGAAGCAGCGATCGGCCGGCCGAAGCCAGCCAACTAGCCCCAGCCGCTAGCCACAAAGAAGCCCGCTGTCGTCATGGTGCGGCCAAACGGGCTCGATTTTGCCTGGGCGAACGCATGGCGCATCGAGCTCGACTGCAATAGGGCATCCGGGAGGGAGGGTGAGCTGATGATTGCTTGCCATCCACATCATCTTCCATGGAGAAAAAAAAAAAAAGAGGCAAACCCGCCAGTTGATCAATCAATTCATTAAAGAGACAGAGATGGAGATGGAGGGGGGGATCAAAGGGGGAAGAGAACATTAGCGATCCAATGGCCAACATGTACAGTAACAATACTGTGCTGTGTATACCGCACTCTCAATGCTCCCACTTGCAGTACAGCGTCAAACCACCTTGGGTTGTTCAGACAGGCGAAACAACAAACAACAAGGGGAGGCGAAGCGTTTCCGTTTCCTCCTCCATGTGCCGCTCGCTTCCCCGCTCGCATCTGCATTTCAGCACACAGCTGCCAGTGTACAAGCACGATAAAAGCGTCGATGCCCTTGTCAGGGGTGCGCGCACAGGCTGCACGAGAGCAAAAGGAGCAGGCAGCTTTTCCCATGGAGATCTCAGCTTCGCATGACTAGCACCATGTGTATCGATGTTGCAATCACGCTACTCCGTCTTTCTCATCCATATTTGCTCCGTAGCGGCTCCCGAGCACCGGCGGTACATGTTCCCGTTACATGCAGCCTGTGACATTTGCTCCGTACTGTACCTTGCAAATTTCCGCTTGCCTCGTCCTTGGGGCTGGACGCCAAATGTCTCACAGGATTGTCGCTTAACTGCCTCGCCGCCCTGGCTCTGCGCTATTCGTGTTAAGCATATATCATACAAGACATTGCTGTTTCTCTCCGTCCCAGCAGAAATGTCCTAGATGGATACGAGGATACGAGGGCGTGCGTGCTGTGCTGCGCTGTACCGCAAAATGCAAACTTGCAGCAGTGCTCCCCCATCCCAATTGGATCCAGTTCGGGTACCTGAGGCCATGTATGGAGTAGGTAGGTAGCTCAAGTACCTGACTCTCGTGAGCACTCCCTCATGTGCGTACATCAAAGCACGAGTAAGGCATGTTCGCCATCTTGCTGGTATATCCGTACCAAGAGCGGCAAGCGAGGATTGGCCCAGCCGTCAAATCTTACCGCTAAACAGATCCTCCTTGGCAAATCTAAACGTCTGATTACATGGGTCGCACAGGAATAGAAACGGGCAACAAGGGAACAAGAAAAAAAAAAAAAAAAGTAGCCTCAGGCGCCGGAATTTGGAAACAGCCTCAAAACTTGCCATCATGTGAGGCTCAGCAAGCACCCAGAAGTTCGAGTCACCAGGCGCCAAGCAACGAATGGCATTGGATGCGTTGCTTGCACTCGTAACAAGCCGTAAGATTGTTTTTATGCAGCGGTTTAGTGCATCATGATGACGGGAGACGAATCCACTAGGCTCCCCAATTCCATCCTATCCCCATCCCGTCCTATTCTTAGGCCGAGGGCAGGCAAGGGCCTTGTTTTCGGGCAAGATATTGCCTCATAGTAAAAAGGCGCCAACATGAACCCTTAGCGCGGCGCTCCCAGGGTCATTTGGCGCGTGAGCTGGGGGTGCTTGTTCAATCTCATGCCCGGAGCAAAGCTGTGCTGTGCTGCTGTGCGCCATCCCATCACAGAGGATCACCCAAGCGAGAGAGCTGGGCTCCGCTCACAAGGCAGAGGAATGGCCTTGGTCCAAACTCACCGCCCCGGTGCAAAATGGGCCGTGCTGGTACTGTAAGGTCAGCCCGTTTTAGTAGCATTTCGAACGCCGATGGAACAACAGAAGCGTGAGAATGATTGAGGCCGGCAAGGATGGTGCTCATTGCCATCAGGGGAGCCGTCAGCAGGCGAGGCTCACTTCCGCGCCTAGAATAACAACAGCTCTGCGCCATCATATAACCAGATCCGGGAGCATTGGTAACCATAGTTCAGGTCATGATGCATCAAATACTTTGTAGGTAATGCAACTGCGTGATCAGATGTCCAAGTCGCATTGCTTGCTGAATTGGCCAATGAGTGGCAGGCTCTGGTATCTTGATAGGTGCTGGCAGAAGCATCCAATCAAGCCCAGCATTGCGTTTCGGCTGCTACCAACGGCATCACATTAATCAGGAGATGCATGTGTGAGCATGAATGCATCTCGCTTCACTGTAAGGCGTATGTACGGAGTACTGTGAGGGACCCTCGCCTCGGGCCACAACCGAGTGAAAGCCGTGCCAGCCTGCACCTCTCACGGTAGCTTCGATTTGCTCGGCACGGACGCGTTCTCCGCAACCACCAGTAATATTTTGCCTTCACAATGTCCTTCTCGTCGTTGAAATCGCACTGTCTCAGTACTCGGTGCCTGGGCGGCCCGTATCTCGCAGAGCGCCATTTCCGAGGTCCCTCCACAGTCCGCGTTGATCGCATCGTGCCGTTGAAGCGAAAGCGCGAAAACGCCACTATCCAAACGGCCGCATTCGGAGAGATGTGGCAAGGACTCCAGTGCGCAAAAGTTGCTGTGAGGTCGTCTTGGTCTCCCACACAGATGTGGCACACAGTCGAGTCCAGACCTTTGTAGACACGACTCACTAGCTCCAATTCCGCACCATCCTGTAAGAGCTGTAACAGAGAAGGAATTGATGGGTCTGTTTTTCTTCTTTCTTTTTTCTTCTTCTCTTTGCAAGTCCCTTCTTAGCCGTTGGAGCCGCAGACTTCATCGGCCATCTCGCAATGGCTCGGCCTTGCCGGTGTTTGCCCGGCATCTTGACCTACCTCGATCCAGCCCTCTTGAGCGTGGGAAGCCCGTGTTCCGTCCTCCAGCCGGAGTGATCAAAGTTCAAGGTCCGTACTCCGTTGATTCCGTTCTCCACGGAGCCGAGGCTGTTGAGCGAGTCACCCCTTTACACGCATTTCCTCGCTCCACCCGAAACTCTGCTTCATCCCCCCCCCCGGATATCCCGCTTGCACAAAACAAAGGTAGGGAGGACGGGCTGGCTCGGCTGGGTTAGTGCTGTAATAAGCCGACGTGCATGAGGCCCTATTTCGATATTGCATGCACGAGCTGCTCCTTACCCCAAACATACAAGTAAAGGGAACGCTTGGGATTCGATTCGCCAACGGCTTGTCATCGCGTGGCACGCTGCCCGTTATTTGACATGTTGCGCAAGCTGGATGGACCTCGCACACGGCGATCACAGCAAGCTGCGCCATGACGCTAAGCGTCTGTCAAACAATGGCAAAGAAAGAATTCGAGCATGTACTCGTAGTATTTGGAAAAGAGGCAACGGCCGCCATGACTCTAGAAGTGGTCGATCAGGTTGCTGGAATGCGACCCCCCCTTATCAATGGCCATCCATGTTGCAGCGAGTTGGCCGCATGCAAATCGCAAGTGACACAGCAATGGAACCACGTTGCCTTCGCGTATCATGCTCCGGGGCCCATGCCGAGCAGCCAAACCTCATCACTCAGCTGCATGCAGTAATCTCTCAGCCAGAGCTGCAAGTTGGGCATTGCATGCACAAAGTATGTATCGTATGCCGGACACAAGGAGAGAAGATGGATACACACACCCATGGCGCAGTACAGTAGATGCGATTCCACTCGGCGCCTCCAGGACATACTCGTATGTCGACATGACGAAAAAGGGAAATAAACAGGACAGAACACAAACTACCGTCGGAGCCGGTGCATGCAGCTGATCCCTTCCGAGAGCTGCAATCCGCCGCCACATCCGCCCTTAACACATTCAGATCGGCAGGAGGGCTTGAACAGAAGCCGTTGTGTGGTCCGAACCCGAAAGTGGACAAGTTCGCCGTACATACAACAACTTACAAAGAAAAGCAGCAGACATCAGAGTGCCAAACCCAAAGCATGCGAGCCCAACTGTTGCCACAGGATATCCAATGCGAACCGCAGAGAGACAGCGCGGGGGTGGGAGAGAGGAGAGAGGGCCTCGCATTTTTCGTCAGCGACCATCGGGTCAGCAGCCATTGGGAGCCAGCTCTACGCCAGAATAGGTGTCGAGCCCGACACGACCAAGAGCTCCGTGATACCACGTCGCTTTGCGCGGTTCGCCCCTCATAGTCTTCAATTTTTCTCTCGAAACGACGAGTCGACCCAGTTGCGCTAACGTGGTTCAAAGACCCCCCACGGACGGTTCAATGGATGGATGGAATGGGCTGCAACACAAACCCCGCATCGTCTCTTGGTCGTGCTTTTTCTGCTTGCTCGATACGGCCACGAATTAAAGGGTCTGGTCTGGTCTGGTCTGGCTGGCTGGGCCAAGGGATGGCGCATCCTGTGTGAGAATGCGCAAGCAATGCGGCACGCAGCCCATCGAGTACTAAACGCAGCCCGCCGTCTGGGAGGCTGTGGGAAATGATGCCACCTTGTTGGCAGTTCGGCCGCAATTGCCCATGCATGCTGCACAAGTTAGCACACACCTTAGATGCGAGGCCTTCCCAAAGCGTCGCCGTACCTTGATCCAACGACGTCGCGATAGATTGCCATGCACATGCTACTGGCATCCAGACGCAGGTAAGGACTGGACCCTTCGTAAAAGAGACGGCCAATGGACATTGAGCCCCTTCAGCTACTGTACGGGGCTTGGGCTGGGAGCAAGGGCTTCTCTCGCCTCATTCGTTGACATTGAAGCCACGGACATGCCTAATACATACGAGTACTGTACCTACGGGGGTGGGATGGGCGGGTTAACGTCGGCCTCAGAGGGAGCCCTTGAGTTGAGACCAAATGCCTTTTAGCCTCAGGCATCAGAGCCTCAACTCATTTCCTGCTGCCTGTACTCGTGCTGCAGTCTTGGCTGGCCGTTTGGCGGTGAGAGTCAGGGCCGCGCATGAGCCAATGGCAATCGCGCATGTCTGGACTGACCGTCAACAGCCCTATTCGGCCACCATCCATAATTTGAGCTCCGTCATATTCCGTGGTACCAGAATTACTCGCCCGCGCTGCTTGTTGGTACTCTTGGGAACAACGGTTGCTCCGTAAGAGCAATTGGTCCCCTTTACGGAAGTCCCCTTAATGCACTGCAACGATGCGAGTTTGATACGGTTAATTACCTCCGTTCTGGCTCCTACAACCTGGCCTGGGCTGCTTATGTTATGTTGTGTAACTTGGATGCTCACTTCGCTCGCCATGTCTGACTGGTGGACAGCTTCAATGCTGAATTCAGGTGTTCATGAGACAGAGCTTGTTGCTTGTCTCGCACGCCGTCCAAGGAAAAATAAGGTAGCTACCCACCAGCAGCCGGATGAATGCAGAGAGAGAGACACAGTCATGCTCAACCACGAGACATGGGCATTCTCAGTCAATTGACTCATTCTACTCGGTATAAGCTTAAAACAGGACGGCCTGGACTGAGCCATGAACCAGATTCCAAGAGTCATCGTCTCACGACGTGTAAACACGCAAAATACATGTTGTCAATTGCACTTTGGCGATTGGCCAGGACGGCAAATTTCACTGAGACAAGCCAAGAGCAAATTAATCAGAAGCCCACCCTCGATGAAGCTAGGTAGATTTGACCAAAGCTCCCCAAGTACTACAGCACAGTTGCACGTCCAAGAGCTCACTCAAGCTTGGAGATTTGAACTTGGCTGAAGCAGAATTAGCGGCCTCGCCTGTTCTCGGGTGTTTTATTGTTTCTTTTACCCAAGGGGGCAGACATAGTAAAAATCCAAAGTACACAGTGTAGCTGGCCATCGTTCTTTTTTTTTCCTTAGTCCAAGCCACCCGCTAGTTTTGTTCGACCGTGTAAGCCTGTGCTTCTTTTTGTTGGAAAAATTTGTTCTAAATTTTTTTTTCCTTCGCGCTTTCGCTAGCAAAACAAGCCGCGCCGATGGGGCAACCCACCGAAGGTCAACCGGTCTACGGCGGTTGAGCGGGCTCTAAGAAGATGGGGTAAAGAGAAAAAAAAGTTCGTAAGAAAAGATGAAGAAAAAAATTGGCGCACTTAGTGTTGGGGTTGGAGACAATTCCTCCTCGGCGAGATTCTTGATTTTTTTCTTCTTTCCCTTTTGGTCCACCCTGGAGGTGAGGCTGTTGTACCCCGTGCTCGTACTCAGCTCGTCCCCATTTACATACCCGTACAGCTTGGCTCATACCTGTAAGCCCATATGTATGTATTAGGAAGACAAACATTGACACGAAATCATATTTGTTCCCGTACCCAATCTCTGAGAGACTCTCGTATCAATAAAAGGGGGCGGCTGGCGGCCCGTATTGACCAGCGGCCGCACATGCTGGCTATACGTGCTCTTGTCAAACTCTACTCTCCATCCATCCCTCTGAGACATGTCCATAGTCTAGATCTCTTGTCCTCGAGCCTTGAGCAATGGCAACTTGACGCGAGGGCACCCCTTTCTCTTGGCACTTGTGAATCACGCAAATTGACATACCGCGCTGTCGCAGAAGCAGTGGAACATGACGGGTGGCACAGCAGTAGAACGCTGCATAGCGATAACGGAGTTGAGGGGGGGAGAGTTTTGGCGGGCAAAGTCAAAACTGTATAGCCACCCGAGAAGCCATTACACCCCATTCCGGATGGTGAACCAACGTTACTTGTGTCTCTTGGGCACAGCTAAAGCCACACAAGATTCCAGGCCTTTTTCAGCTGCCCGTGGCACCCCGACAGAGTGCCATTCCCGTGCGCTGAATGGCATGGTATAGATTTGGCTGGACTTGTGGGTTGTGGTAGGCGGTTGCCGAACGAAGTGAGCTGATACTATGTGAAAGAATGGCATGAAGCTAAGCTATGGGCAGAGTTACTATCGTCATTCCACATCCATGTCGTGAAGATGGCGTGCTTTCAGTGCCATGACTAAGTATATTCTCCTCGGAGTCGTTGATTTAGCTGTGTACTAAAATTTACCATTGGATACTGCCGTAACACTTTGGCGACAATTACTCCCCTAGAAAAGTATGTGTTAGACAGCGAGGAAACAAGTGGCAAGTAGAACCATACGGGATACGCCCCCTCCGGTCCAATTCCCCGAAGTTGTTTGTTGAAATAAGTTCGAGTCTATCAAAAGCTCCTGCTGTATGTTATAGGATGAGTTTCCGCGCGAACGCAAATTTTTTTTTAGTCTTTCAATGAGTATGGCAATTAGCTTTACCTGATGATACGGTAATTGATTTAGTTCCGTGAGCTTGATATCTTCAAATCGTCGTTGATGCGCTGCAAGTGATGATGTAGAGTCGCCAAAGTATATGCAGTCTATACGCAAACTTCGACTGTAAGCTGTAAGCAGTACGAGTAGCAATCTATTCTCTTCCCCAACCATTGAGGCCTCCTGAGATCCAATCGAGTCTGGTACGAACATGCAGTATTATGAGTAATTCCACATTTTGATATAATAAAATTAGAAACGTATTTTAACGATTCATCAACTCCCACGATCATCAATTCCCAAGAGTCTCAACTGTTCAAAGATGTCAGTTGATCATCACGTGCACTGGCACGTGCTCTACGGCGGGCGGTTTTCCCGCTAGCCGAATTAATGACTGCAGTCCGGCAAAGATTCGTGCCAGCGACTTCAATTGAGCTCACCACAAGCAACGACTCAATCGTCCTCACAGTCACCATGAACTCCCTCCGTGTTGCCCGTGCGGCCCTCCGAGCTCGCCCTACAGCCATGCGAGTGGCCATCCAGCGGAGAGGATATGCCGAGGCCGTCCCTGACAAGGTGAGGATGCTCCGGATAACGAGCCTCAAAGGCTTGCCATTTATATATCGCTAACTGAAATTTCTGTAGATCAAGCTGAGCTTGGCTCTGCCTCACCAGGTATGAATTCTACACCTCGAGAAATCGACTTTTACCGAATATGCGATCCGATTGGGCGGGTGTGGAGGAAATGCGACAGTCGACAAATGTTCTCGGTGCTAATTGCCGCAATGCTTTGCAGTCCATCTACAAGTCTCAGGACGTCGTCCAGGTCAACATCCCCGCAGAGTCTGGCGAAATGGGTGTCCTCGCCAACCACGTTCCCTCCATTGAGCAGCTCAAGCCCGGCCTGGTCGAGGTTGTTGAGGAGTCCGGCCCCGCCAAGCAGTTCTTCCGTATGTCATGACCCCTCCGAGTGTGCGACTCCACGGACGACACAAGACTGATGAACGCCTGTATAGTATCTGGTGGCTTTGCTACTGTCCAGCCCAACTCTGTCCTGAGCATCAACGCCCCCGAGGCTTACCCCCTGGAGGACTTCAGCGCCGAGGCTGTCCGCGCTGGTATTGCCGAGGCCCAGAAGGTTGCCAGCGGCAATGGCAGCGAGCAGGATATCGCTGAGGCCAAGATCGAACTGGAGGTGCGTGAAGCAGTCCATGCTGCGAGTCAACGAAGACACACTAACATCCCGCTGCCAGATTCTCGAGACCCTTGCCACCTATGTCAAATAAACGATTATAGAAATATAACCCTTGTACAACCTTTCTACCTGTCTTTAGCGCAGAGCCCAAACAATTGATATCAGTTGTGGTACTGTCACATGAAAGAAAAAAGTAGACATCTGCTGCATCCCACAACTCCTGGGAAATGCATTTTGTATCTATGTAGCAGCGGCTCCTAAAATAATGAAACGAAATCACCACTTGCCTATTCCTTCCTCACCGTAGGAGCCCTCTTGCCTCTTTGGACTCTCTAGAACTTGCCTTGAACGCACAAGGCAACTCCCTCCACTTTGCTCCTGTGTGTCTTTCTTTCTTTGTGGGGTCATGTGTTTCCTCTGACTTCTTGTCTTTCCCCCCCTCTCAACGCTTGTTCATAATTATCATCATACGCATGCATCGTCTATTTCAGACTCCATATGATTTACTTGTTATCCATCAACTAACATGGCATATCCCGAGTTCAGCGACCCCGCCACTCTTCTTAGAGATGCCATTTCGTTTGATGGCGTTCCGGACGACCTGGTGCCCTTTGGCTTCGTCGAGTCTCGCATACGGCAGCTCAACACGATATCGAGCAACGATAACCTAACTGCCCAGCCATACACTGCGAATACGCGCGATGCTGCAGACCCTTGCAGCCCAGTCTGTCCGCGGACGCGGGTCGAAGTGTCTGCTTCACCTCCAGTTGGCCATTCGTACCCAGGCTTGAGGATCAATGACAACCATAACGATGACAACGGAGTTGCTTGGGAGGTTGCGTCGACAAGTGCTCACATGTTTAACGTCAAGCCGAGCTTGAGAGCCTCTAGATCGAGCAATTCGTTGCGATTGCAAAGTCCAACCCGAGATCCAAGCAGATATCGCAGTTTATACAGGTCAAACCAGACCGCCAACGAAGTCAATGATGCGAAATTGGGATCCAAGCTTTCCAGACGGTCTCACCCGAATCTCCAAGCATCGTCTTCAAGTATTCGGACAAGACAACGCGCCCCCGAGAGCTCTAGAAAGGAGCAGCAAGATGTATTGGAAATGTTTGACACATATGGGGTCTCACGGCCAGAGGGTTGGCTGTCGGATGAGAAAGATCGACAACGGGCATCAGGGATGAAAACCGTTCATGTATGCCATTCCTGTGGTGGGTATCTGCATACACGAGCGCGATGTGCGAGATGTGGGCATGAGTTCTGTTCCAAGTGCAAGACAGAATTGGTGAGTGGTCTGTCTACCATCCTTCCAGGGGGCCAAGAGCACAGGCAAGACCAGCAGAAGCTGAGCCAAGGGACATGGAACCAAGGGATAACTCACAGCCGGAGCCTTGCCAATCTATCTGAGCCTGTCCTCGGTGCAGAGAAAAGTAAGCTACGTAGAGTCATAATTTGGGATAAATAAGCTGATATACTGGCATAGATAATCGGCTATCTCATTCTAAGAGCCGTGACTCTATCACAGGATATCCCAGAGAAAGTCAGCTGAGACATGCTGAGGCGGAAAGACAAGCACGCCAACAATTTCGACATGAACGCCGACATCGCCTGGAGAAGTCCTATAGCGAAATGGCCATCCCTGAGCAATGCTCTGATTGCCCGACTTGTCACGTGAACAGCGACCCTACGAGACACAGCATCTGCTGCATTGCTCGACAGTCTCCCTCAAGGAGGCATGTGATTGACCAGACGAATAAAAGCACCGAAGAAGAGCTAGAACGCGAGATTCTACCCGAGGATACAATTCGTGAGTACTGATTTAGCATTGATAATATTCTTACATGGGGTGCTGATGGGTGAGAATCTACAGGAGGCAAGGCCGGGGCGACTTCACAGGAGTCACGTATTCAACATATGTGGCCGGATAATGACAAACAGACTTCGCCCCGACGAAGAATCGACGATCTTGGGAACAAAACGGCTACACAGACTCTGAAAGGGCTTCTCAGCCTGCACACTTTGGATCAGGATACTTTTTGGACTTGTTCAGAAGATCCAGCAATGTCCCAGAGTGTCACTCTGCCTCACACGCTCCATGGTAACCAGGACACACCGAAATCGATTCTGGAAGGAGCTTCCCATGAAAGCATAGACTCGGTAGAATTGAAAAAATATCAGGCATCGCCATCGGACAAGGCTATTTGGAAAACTCCAACGATTCGAATCTCGCCATCTGGAGCAGACAATGACGTACCGGAGCTTCAGCAAGACGTCAGATACGATGATCAGATGGGAAACGCTGGGGGCCAACAACGCCAAGAGTTATCACATAGGGGCATGGGATCGCCTGTTAGAAAAGCAAATGCTTGGACTCCGAAAGCATCAGAAAAGGGGCTTGGATCGCAAGATTCGCTTAGGAAAGCCACCAGTCCAAGCAAGAGTCCCCAGAGAAACATTGAGTCTTCCGATCCTTCAACATGGAAACAACAACTAAGAAAGATCAACGACACACCGACATTGATGAGCAACTCCCCGAGCAAGGGGTATACATTGTCAGCCTCCGACTCTCAAAGATATCTTGGCCAGTCTGCAACGGCAGTTAACCCCGACGAAGGAACACTTCCCAGCTCATCAGTCCCACACAGGAGTATTGACGAAGAGCCAACAGCTACGGGATACAAGGGTTTGGAATTTACAAGCCGCTTCTCAAAGAGAAACCAGGCAGGAGACGTGATGAAAGAGTCGGCGATTCCTCCTGTTACCCCTAACAGCGAGTCCGAGATTTCCCTAAGTCGCCACGTCTGCGAGTGGCGCTCACGGTATTTGGGGCTTAGTGATGCATTCGATAAGCTCAAAATCGAGCTGGATATTGCGCTGGAACACCAAGCGAGCCAAGTCATTGCTGGTGGGGAATTGGGGGGTGTTTCTCATCAGCATCAATACGATGATTATGGAATCGAGGGGTTGACCATTATTGTGCACAGACGAAGCAAGGAGGATCTGGTCCTCAACACAGACCTGAGAGAAGAAGAAGCCGCTCATGTGGAAGAAGAGTAAGCGAAGGCATCTGTGATGGCCAAGGGCAAGGAGTGGAGAGCGTGTGCTATGTCTACGATAAAACCATAGGCAAGTATTCATTATGGTCATGAGACGCCATCTGCGTTAGTTTGAGAGTCTAGTGTCTGAATGTGAGACAGTCGATAGGTTAACTAGGTAGCAATGCACTTGAATCATGATATGCTTGGCACCAAGGAGAAGGATCGGGACGCCGGAAGTGAATCCGAGCCTTGTGATGGCATACTCCATACATGTAGCGTATAATACCAGAGGCAAAGTGTACTGACGTTGGCAGATCCGGTGACTTTGTCCTACATACTATTCCCACGCCAAGTCCTACATAATCTTGGCCAGTTATCAACATCACTACGGAGTTGGTTTAACGCTGCCTGACATGAGGAGTGCTCCCGTCTATGTACGGACATTTCTTTGCACTGGAGCAATCCGATTAGGGGGCGAAATCTTGTGATGAATGAATGGCCGATCCGTTAGGCAACTACGGAGTAATAAGGGGGGGCGTGTATCTACTACATTTTTTTGATTCCAAGGCGATTATGCCATGATGATGGATTTGTGAAAAAAAAGAAAAGAAAAGAAAATAAGAGAGATGCCGAACCGAACGGGATGAATTTGACATGTCTTGAGTCATTTTGCTCCCCTGAGGGAACTAGGACAATTCTACTTTTCTATGATTGACGTACGATATATGGTCATCCACAGCCTGGATTTTGAGGGGGGGGGGGGGGGATCTTGTGTTGATTCACCGCAAGACGGACAAGGCTCTCGTCATGGCGTCTGCAAGTGCGTGTGTCGAAAAGGTTAAAAAAAGAAAAGAAAAGAATTAATAGGAAAAAATAAGAAGAAAAAAAGAGATGTCAAATCATGTACTTTAGTATTACCTATTGCTGAGTGTCACAAGGCCCTGATAAGAGAGAGAGAGGGAGGGAGAGAGACGTGGACGGGGGACGGGACACCCCGTGGACAAGAACCAAGCAAAGCCCTCCCTCCTCCTCCTCCCCAGCCCCCTTGATTTTCCTTCTTCTTTTCCCTCTTTCTCTCTCTGTCTTGCCCTTGGCATCATCGGTTCTACGGTTGGGCGGGCATACGATACACGTTACGAGGCAGACGCGGCAGAAAAGGATGATCCTCATGGATCTGCCGCCGTCCGGGATGCACTAAGTCCCAAACGCGGGCGATCGCGGCGCCCAATGAGGGCCGTGACGCTTCATGTCAAGACGGTTATTTGACAGGAGCATCACCGACTAGTACAAGTAAGCGCCCTTGATGCTTTAGTGTCTGGGGGTGGGCAGAAAAGATTGCTATTCCCAGCGTGGCTTTGCGTCCCTAGAAGCAGGCAGGGTATCGCTGCAGCAGCAAGCATACATGCCTTTTCCTTTCTCTTACCGTTTTTTTTTTTTTGGCGTGGATCTGTCAGTTGGTAGTAATACTAATGCTCCGTACCTAGCAAAGAACCAACGGCTGCTTTGTGTGTGTGTGTGTGTGTGTGCTTGTACATATCATCATATGCCAGCAGGTTTTTTTTGGGCGGGAGGTTGGATCACACGTCGGAATATCCACACGCATGAAATGTACCTTGTCCGGGAATGGCGAAACATCATTCGCTGGCAGAAGAGAAGAGAGAGAGGAGAGAGAGAGAAAAAAACTGACGACAGCGGTGCCCGTTGCGCCCGCCAGCGATGCTACTCTGGTTGTTGCACGTGGGAAAGAAGACGAGGGACAGGTTTCTGCCATTGAAATTTTCTGGGGCTTCTTGCTGCGACGTGGAAGGTTAGGCAGGGCCATGGCACGAACCCGGGGAACGAGATATGCCTCTGTGTGGTGGTATCCGGTGTAAGTACGGAGTACTAGCACCAAGTTGTCTTGTCCAGGCTGTATGCACGTAGTAGAGAGAGACGAGAAGGCTATACTACGATACAAGTTAGTGTCGTCTTTCGCTACTCCGCGTTTTCCCCAATGCTGTTGTTTTGCAGCGAGTGAAAGGATAGACATGCAAAACCCGTGTGGACCGCCAGCTGGGGAACCAAAAAGGAAAACCACAAAGGGGCGGTCTGCGAGAAGGGACACACGGCCTTGAAGGGGAAAAGGCATTCTCGCACTCGCGCCAGCTGCAGAAGAAGAAGAAAAAGGAAAAGTTGAAAAGACAGCAAGCAAGAAAAAGAAAAAGAAAAGACTGCTATTCTTGGATGTTTGCAACTCTCACCTACGACGGTCGCTGCTAGGGGTGAACGCAACGAAGCGGTGGGAGAAAGTCGACAGCCAGACAGGGCAAAGCCAACCTCGTAAATGGAGTACAGGTATCAAGCAAGCCGTCGTGATGAGGCCATCGTGAGACCTGAGGCTCCCCCTCACAAACCTCACCGACTTGGAGAAGACGAGGGTGATGGACAGCGTCGGTTAGGGGGGGGGGGGGAGAAAGGCCTGGTCAGCTATGCCAACACACCCATGTCAGCCCAACAGCGGGACAGCCCTTTTCAGGTTGCCAGCACGCCGGGTCCATTCGTCTGCCTCGCAGGATCAGCAGGGTTCGGTCTGTGTGGGGAGCTGATAGTGCTAGTACAGGTAGCCAGTTAGTCGAGTTGACAGCACACACACGAGGCTTCACCAGGACTGAGGTGGCAGAGCTTGACAGGACGGAGCTGCCATCCGCGATGCGGCCAAAACCCACCAGGGAGACGGGCATGCCGCTCAGCGTGGCATGGATGGATCCCAAGTGTCGAGCATCTCTGGTCTGTCCTTGGGTCTTTGGGTCTTTGGGGGGGGAGGAGAGGAGAAAGGCTCCCCCCCCCCCCTTGCCTCGCGGCTCGCGGCTCGAGCCTGTCGTTCGTCTGCTGAAGACAGCGCGGAAGCCCGTCGATTAGTCACCGGCATCATCATGGCCATCATCATCATGTTTGCGCCTGTCTGAGGGGGGTAGCCGTAGCTGGAGAAAGCAGCAAATCATGGCCCTGCCGGGTGTGAGAGAAGTGAAAAGGCGAAGAGGGTCCTTTTGACGCAGCTTTGTTGCGGTGGATCGCCAACTCCAGCTCGAGGCATGTATGTACCGGTACATGGCGGACGAGGCATCATGTCCGAACTCCTCGTACCGACTTGGAGCAGTACGAGACCAGTACCAGCAGTACAAGTAGGTAGGTATTCCATCTGCTCTGCCACAGCATCTAGAACGGGGTTTGCTGCGCGACAAAGTACGTACAGGACGCCCTGCGTCTGCCTCGGGTCAGCATCTCGTTGCCTCTGCTTTGCTTCCCATCCCCCGTCCTGTCCTGTCCTGTCGCCTTTCATACTCGTGCCCGTACAAGCAAGCACGGCAGACATGGCAAACGCGAGAAGAGAAAACAAGGCCAGCGGTCCAGCGGTCCAGCTAGCCGATGCTCTGCGCCGCGCTTTGACTCCGTGCCGAGTGCAAGGGGGGGGGGGGGGGTTAGAGAGAGGTTGGGGCCCCTTTTACCCTGGCTCTGGTGTGAAGTTTTTCTTTTCATTTTTCTTTTCTTTTCTTTTTTTTTATGTGGACAGGGGGGGCAGTTGGGGGGGAAAATGTCCGGGAGAAGGCGGTGAAGGAAGCGGCAATAACTCATCCGCGGCTCCTGTCTGTTTGTCAATGAGTGCATGGATGGACATGCTTCAAGAACTGGAGAAAAAAAGAAAAGAGAGAGAGAGAGAGAATCAATTCAATATGAATCAATTGCAACTAGAGCGTCAAGGGGGGACACCGGTCGATAAAGGCTTGTCAGTCAGAAACTGTTGGTTCAGGACAATGTGATTTATGAGAACCACCTGATACAGCACTACACTAGGCGCAACAAGGCTCCTGTCCTCCTCTCTCTCCCTCTCTCTTCTCCAGAAACCGGTGAGATGAAAAAGAAAAAGAAAAGAAAAGAAACACACACATCGGATTGGACACCCCCTTCAGCCCCAAGCAAACTCACTCTTGACCGCATCAATGCTAGCCGAGCTTCGCCGTATCTCGCCCCAAACGCCCGCCGGCTTCCCTCGATAACCAGATCGAGATGCCTGCAGCACGCACTTGCTTTAGTCCATGTATCGTATGCATAACGATAGCGTGCACGTTTTCCCTTGCGCCCCTGTCCTTTTTTGCCCGGGAACGGTCCCTGTCCTAGCAGTTCCTGCGCCTGGGAGAGAACTGCAGCCGCATGCTACGCTGGCGAAGCTAAGCTTGTCTGACTTGGCAAAAGACGCAGAGCAGAGCAGAGCAGAGCAGAGCGATACCCCGGCAAGCATGAGGAGCGTCTTTTGGGGGCCGTTTATCGGTTAGACCCTGTTTTTCCTCTAGACAGCTTTGCAGGATGGATGGGCTTCTTTTTTTTTTTTTCACTCCCCCTTGTCGTGGATAGCGGGCCTTTGGGGTTTCCACTTTGTTCTGTCGTCTTCTTTTCATGCCGTGCCCACCCACCAAGAACTTTGAGCAAATCACTGTTGCTCTCCCTATGCTGCTTTGTACTGCTACTTGTGCTACCAACTTCGATAGTGCCACAGGCAAAGGTACACGCGCTTTGCAACGCTCGTATCAATTGGGCAAAAAACAAAGAAGAGACGTGACCGAACCGCCCCCGAGCATGCGGGGCCGGAAACCCGGAGACCGGGGCCGGGGTTGCGACAACGCAGGCGGTGAGGCGGGACCAGGGGGGGTTCGAGTCGGGTCTCCAAGTTGGGCTGGCGATGAAGCCAAGGCATTGAGCAATGGGTACGAAGTAGCAGCGGTGAGCAGATGCCGTCTGCTGTTTGCCATTGGCATGACTACATGTACTGCGAGCACAGAACTACGCCTTGTGCTGTGCAAGATACCTGAAAGAGCTCATCATACGACGGCTGTGGCTAGGCTAGACTGGGCTTGCTAGTTGTGAAATGTATGTACGAGTAGTGCCGATGAAACATTGCGTTTTGGGGACAAGAACCAGAAGGGATCAAGACGATCCATGTTCAACTGAAGTCACTAGATCGATCCGCATGAACAGATGGGGTGTTGATGGACCAGTCCACACAATAGCAACCGGAAATCTGTTGGAGTTTCATCCAGCCTTGTCTTTGTTGGCTGAGGCTGCAGAGACATCACCCTCTTTGACAAGAGAGAAAGACAGAAACAAGACGAGAGAAAGATGTCTATTAGCACCCTTTCATGAATCACCCTCTTTAATCAGTCAAAAGCCTACGAGTTCTCATTTCTTCCCTATGACGTTTACAAGTCTCCAACCTTCTTCCCTCTCACATCTCGGGCATGCCTTCAAAGCGGCCCTAGTTACTAGCCCTTACAAACGTTCCAGCACGTCTAGTTGCTTTCCCCCCCCAATGCACTTCTGCATGCTTCTCGGTGCCCCTTTGCAGACGGCCCTGCTTCACAATTGCATACTTGGCGTACAGTAGGGCGGGTTGGACACCTCATCTAGCCTCCCTCTTCCCTTTTTTTTCTTCCTTTTTTTGCTTCTTCTGCCCCTGCTTATCAGCGATGTGGCCCCAATCACAAGAAGTATTCATGTTTTTTTTTTCCAAGTGAGAGTGAGAGAGCGTTGGGCACATACGAGTACAACTCCGTAGTTGGTTCAAACGCATCAGTAGCACGGACTACCTATGTTGCAAAGGACAATATCAGGCACAACCAGTTAAGCAGCCTCTTCGCGTGCAGAAACAATCTAGACAGCAATCCTTCCGTGTTCCCTCTTTTATTCTATTCCCAACACGGCAAAGCCATCGTCCTCTCGCTCCCAAGTCCTTGCGGCGTCGGCGTTTTGACATTGCAAGGGTATGTATGCCTTTTCGACAAGTCCCTTGAATTTATAACTTGAACTTGAACAGCTCTAAACCCGCAATCCCCACATCAACCTTAAAGACACCACCGCCATACCTCTTACTCGTCTCATCGCCCTCCTCGTCCGTTGCTGACGTGATGAACAGCTCCGTCCCCACAAACTGGACACAGGTAATGTTCCTAGTCGGCAGAGTTATGCTTCCAATCACCTTGCCATCGGGACTGATCTTGAGAACCGAGCTCTCCCCATAAATCGCGTGCCACACGTTTCCATCCACGTCGACGCGGAAGCCGTCGGGCTCGCCTGGTCCCTCATGCCGATACCAAAGGCGTTTGTTGCTTACTGCCCCCGTTTCCGGCGAGTAGTCAAAGGCGAACACCTCTCGAGTCTTGGAGTGAGTAAAGTACATGGTTTTGTTATCTGGTGACCACCCAATGCCATTGGGGATGACCAGGCCCGTTAGGACCTCCTCTTTTGCCTTGGACGAATCAAAACGTGCCAGAAACCCTATCAAAAAAGGCCCGTCAGCGCCGGCGTGAGGGGGGTGAGCCAGCCACCCAGGGGAGGGGGCGGCAAAAGCATATCATACAAATCGTCGGTCAGCCATACCTTCTGGTTGAAATTCCCCAAGCCCAAAGTCCGTCATGGTCCCCAGCCAAAACTTGCCATGGGGATCTGCCGCTCCGTCGTTGGCTCGTATACGCTCGTCGTTTTCCTGGCCGTTGAACGGCGCGAGCATCTTGTATGTTCCGGCTTGACGATCCAGCACTGCAAGTCCATGTTTGACACCGAGCAGAATGCGATCCTGAGGTTCCACCCCCTCGATGTCAGCCGTGACGGTTGGGCAAACGTCCAGCTGGATAGTCTTTAGAGAGACGTCGCTTAAAGAAACGGTGTGCACGTGTTTCTTCTTGATGTCAACAAGACGCAGCGAGTTGGTCTCCTTTTCATAAAACGGTCCTTCGCCCAGCGCACATTTTAGGTCAAGCCAGGGCTCGCCCACTTTCCACTGTTGAGATGCCATTTATTCAGCTGTCTGCCACGCCACGCCGGAAAGCCGAGAAAAGCGAATGACTCTGTAGATGTTGTTTGAATATCTCGAACCAGTCGAGAAACGTGTTTAGGTTATATAGTAGCCTTATACTATTCGGGGCCCCAGCGATCACGGAGTTTCTCTTGAGGAGCAATGGCGGGGTAGGAGATAATGTGGAGTTTTAACGGAGTAATACCCGGAAGGTTGGGTTGATATCGCGGGCCGTCTTGCTCAAACTTACCCGGGATCGAATCCCACGAGCACAGGGCCAAATGAATCAGAAACCTCGCTGTTCATGTTTAGTTGGCGCCGTGTGATGGTGTCTCTGGCGTTTACGTCCGCTTGGCCCGGCTGGTTTTGCTCTTGTTCGATTCGTCCGTGTCAATACTCTTCCATGAGGACTAACACCAGCGCTGAGTGATGCAACATCCTACAGCTTGTGGTATAGCAGGATCGGCTAAATGATTCATCGATCCACTGACGGCATATTTGAAAATAAACACAAATCAAACAGTTGACAGAGGCGTTATGAGCCCTGCTTGCCTGGATGAGCCTTACTTTATCACTCCTAGAGTGGGCAGATTTGCTCCTGCTTTTGCGCATCAATCGCCCAGGAGTACCCCTTTGTGATCACACCATGCAGCGTAGCATCATGGCAACTCCGTTGTTGCGCATGGCAAACCTCCCATCGGGAATTTGCCCGACATGACGAATCGCATCAGCATCGATGGCCGTCAGTTGCATTTCACGTGGTTTCCAACTGATGCGGATAAGCGGTGGTCTCTCACATTTCACTGTTTCTTTTTTATACCCAGAGCCAACCGGGCGGCCATGCGAATCGTTGTCTACGCCGGATAGAGGTAATCATCCCGGACAGCCAGCCCCAGTCATGCCTCACTTAGCCGCCCCCCTCCGCCGGGAAATAGTAGTAGATGCAATGGCAAGGAGCAGTGTTTCATTGAGCCAGCGACCAAGGAAACCGGCGAGGTTGGTCATGTTGCTCAAGGCCAACTGAGAACCTGTACGCCCCCTATTGCCAGCTGCTCGTACTGGTAGCATGATCCGCCCGATGAAGTGCGTCCGAAAGACAACACAGCACAGACATTGCAGCCCAAGACAATGTGAGCCCCTATCGTGACCTCTGATCATGAGTTCGTCCAAGAATCAACTCCCTCGACAGTCGGGCAGCATCCTCCAATGCGCCGTTGGCAACGGAGTGAGGCGGGCGCCGCACAAATTCAACCGCTAGGCGGTCGCCACGTCTAAACTCGTAACCTGTAGTTGCATGCAGCAAGGGCTGGCGGGGCCGAGATGCACATCCATCCTACGGCACAAACCACCAACAGCACTCGTGCTAGCAGTAGTGGTAGCAGCATCACTCCCTCCCTTTCCCAACATATACTCGTAATTGCGCATGTCTGGATCACTTCGTATTGTTGCCAATCTTAAGCGATCACACTCGCTCCACGTAGGGATCCCGTGATTCGCTTTGGCCGTTCCATTACATGTTCCATTGCATGCGACACCGTTAGGGTCACGGCGATGCCCTTTCCCATCCTTGCGCTCTGTCGGCCGATGCCATCGGAGAACAGCCGGTGTAGCTGGCTGGCCCCAGCCTCCAGCACCCTTCCACAATCGATGTCCTGTCCTGTACGGCTATGGGGCGCGACGAGAAGAACTGATAGGCCCACCGTAAAGTCGCTGCATGAACCGGGTAGGCGGATGGGGTCAGGACCTGTAGACCACGGTGGTTTGCAGGGACCGGTTGTCGAGCTTAGCCCTCATGCAATGCATGCCATAGATACATACAGTACGGAGAACTTGTCGCGTCATCTGGGCCCTTCCCCATCTGATGTGTCCACAAAGGACTGGGTACTCGTACAGGGACGTGGTCGCATGTAGGTACTCGTACTAGCACTCTGTACCCGTCTGGTTCCCTGGTCGGTACTTGTACATGTTTTGTTGCTTGGGCCAGGGTTGAGACAGATCTTCTTTTTTCTTGTCTCAAGCACCGGGGGGCTGCGAGCCGCCGCCGTCCTCATACACTGCCAGGTAATTTCTCAGCCCCAACTAGGCGCAAAAAGCAGCCCGCAGAATAGCGCATCCGCGAGGAGGAAGAAAAAAGCAAAGAAGAAAAAAAAATGCACAATCAAAAGACGACAAGAGTGATCTCAGTCACGATGCGGCGCCGACCTGATGAGCATGCCAGCCCCCCCGCCTCTTGGGACGGAGCTCACACAGCACCGGCGCATAAAGACAGCAAGACGTGCCCGTTCAAGTCCATTGATAAGAACGTCGAGAGTTCACAGCTTGATAGAGCTAGGGACGGGCCGAAGGCAAAAAAGCTTGCTAAATGCTTGAGCTGGTGTCGTGCAGCTGTCTCTCGTGGCTGTAACCGCGACTCAATGTGAGGTTCCGCGATGGTCGAAGCAGTTCTTATGTGGATACCAATATAGAGAGGAGACGAGGCAAACCGCATTTGCACTGCACCGCATTGCTTGTGCCTGATGCCGATGCCTGTGTTTGATCTCGACAAATCTCACATCTCACACATGCACCATGCACTTTGAGATCTGCTAGTTTGACATGAAGCAAGGCGTCTGTGCAGCCGAGCTGGGATTCGGACGGTCCGCGTCGGCACGCCGATTGCCCAGCTTCGGGCATAATAGAGTGCGCGCTAGCTTTTTGCTTTGAGCAGAGTGTACTCGTAGCTGGGAACGGCCGCGAATTTTTCTTGATTTTCTGATTGAAAGCACTCCGCACTCGCCTCGCCCATGCTAGGGCATAATACCTTGTAATTACCTGTACGACATACTACCTCGTAGTTGTACTCGTAACTTGTAGTTGTGACGATGGCGTTGGGTTGCCATGGGATGCTCGAACGATGCCCGATCCCTACACAAGGAGGGGTCTAGAAATGAGCCGCTCGTGGTGGGCGCTTGGTCATGATGGTGGCCTTTGGTGGCGGGTGATGATGCAAGCCATCGATTCATGCTACTGCTAGTAGAAGTAGAGCTGTGACGGAAGCTCCGCTTGTCTGCTATCCCGGTCGACCTCATTTCTCGTCTCATTTCTTCTTAAATTGACGAGGCAGATTAAACGCAACTAGCGCCGTACAAAGCTTCGCTGTGCCGCTAGATGACAAGTTTGCCCTAGTATTCCGGAAGATTATTGCTTGAAACTTTTGCGCATGACTGCTTTAGAATGGTAGCTGACAGGGAATACGAGCAGATACGCAGCTGCCAAGGTCCCATCACGGCCGTGTCGAGACATCAAGTGGGATCTGCCTACTGGGCAGTACATACCTAAGTAGTCTCGAATTAGAGCAAGATTGCTGTCCTGTCACAGGTTGAATGAGAAAAGACCCTTTTAGGCGCTAGCATTTCGCTGGTGTTCAAGGGTCCTGTTGCTCACGCCTGTCCGAAGGAATGTCGACGGCTCTCGCCTTGTAAAAGTGGTCTTGAGACGCGGCAAGATGACAGAACTTCGTCTTTCCATTCGTACGAGTACTTGCGCACTCCCCCAATCTCTACTCGACGTGGTGGGTCCCCGCGTGAGTTGTTCGCCGATGATGTTCTTGTGCCATGAGATCCAAAGGCATCCACAGCGTCGCCGAATGTTTAGTCGTCACGCAGTGATGGGACGGGCACAGGGCAGAATGCAATCATCCCCCAATGCGTCCAGGTGCATCATCCCCCCGGAAGTTTTCTCCAGCATTTCTCCCAAGCGGGCGAAAGCACATTGGATAATCGCTGCAAAAACCACAGAGCTGGGTCGGTTGCTGTAGAGTGTCACCACACCTGTGTCCAAGTTGCATGTAGGTATCCTGCTTAACGAGAGGAGGCCGCATAATGGGCCTCGGGGGAACATGTCTCGGCACCCAGGTTTGGGATTTGAGCCCTTGGGTCCCCCCGCGTCCAGGCCGTGGCAGGGCCCGGGAGTCAGGGACGGGTGTGGAAACCAGCTGTAGGTCGTGCATGTGTGATATGTAAATGGGCACTGCTAGCCGCCCTGGGCTTCCTCACGGGGCCAATCATGTCTAAGGCATCTGCAGAGACGGGAAGCGTCCTATCCATTGGGCACGGCGAGGCCTAGTGATCCATCTTAGCAACTGCGAATACCTTAGCATGCAATCTGCGGCCAACGCATACACACATATCGCTAGCGAGCATCATACCAGCCAGTCTGAAAAGAGCGGCCTGAGGTGGAGTGGCGTGTTGTCTTGAAATTGAGTCGTGATATCAAGTGTCCAATTAAAGATGCCACTGAATACCTGTACGCCTCGTTTTTTTATAGATGCTCGTACAGTCTGCCCTTGTACGAGTATAATTTGAGTGCCTTGGG